TCGAACCGAGTTGCCATATCGTCAAAGGTCGCTGCCAGTCTTTGTTTCGCCGACATTCCTGGCAAGCTTGTAACCATTGGCGACTGTGTAGAAGGTCCATCCGAATCTTCACCATACTCGTCTTCGTCTTCGTCTTCATCGTCGTCACCGACATTGGCCTTATCAGCAATGAACTTGGAGGCTGCCTACATTTGTCGTTTAGTTTATACATATCTCAGTCATGACATTCACTGACCTTGGATAATTTGTGTGATTTTTGAGTACGTGATCTTGACGAGTAGACGTTCAACCTCGGTGTAGGTATACAAACGGAAGACTCTTCTGGTGAAGAGGGTATGTAAGTCTTCCAAAGCTTGGTAAAGTTCTCCAAGGATTTGGCGTTATCCTCGTCGCCGGAGAAGAGGAGACGTCGAGGTTCCACCCAGTCGTCTACTAAGTATCGATCGCCCAGGTACGCTATGTGCGCGTCGTCTACCTCGGATAGAGACATCGATGTTGTGAGGAATTTGGACAGGATAACCCATGCACCATTATCGTACAGCGCCGGTGGTACTGCCTGGTTCGCTGTATCGTACTCGTGAATGACTGGATGTTAACTATAACGAATAACAACCAACTTACCTTGAACGTCAATCGTGCACTGCCGCTTCGAGGGCGGTTCATCACCGCCGGATCTAGCGCGTTTAAACATGAATCTATGAGATATATCAACTTAGATGTTACAGCAATATGGACTCTGACTCGGACATACTGTTATTCGTTAGTCTATTCGGTATTCTACGTTATCTATATGTACGACGTATCGTACTAGTAGATGTATTTGAGGATGCGATGAGAGAAAGAAAACCTGTTACTAACGCGCAAGCTCAGTATATATAGTGAATGACTATTTGGATTAGCTAATACTTACTACAGGGACGTCTCGGTGTGGTTGTGTATCGTGTATTGTCTCTTACAGAGACGGTTGTGGACCGTGCATTGTTTTGTGGAGATGCTGACTGCTCGGCATTGTAGACCGGTGGGCGCAAGCATCAGCGATTGTCATGTGAGAATATTTTTCTACTGAAATGAAATAATCCTGCCCTAGTGACGTAGATAGTAGGCGGCAGTGAATTAAAGTTTCAGTCCTACTCCCTCCCGCTCGCTACCTAGCTAATAGTATGTGAGGTGCAACGCTAAAGTTAAAGTTTAAAGGGCTGCCCGAACGAATCACAAGTCTACTCTACATTTCAGCTAAATATGAGCTACTTCAGGACTTAATGCTATGTAGCCTAATGTAAGACAATGATCGGGAAGAAGACAATTGGTGACGAAGACACGGTACATAAAGTGAATGACTCGCTATTCAAACCCAGCCGGTAATTCCCGAAGAGTTGTGAGCGGGCATTGCCAGCTGAGTTTGAACATAGTTGTTCACTATATCAGGGCGTTCCTTGCTTGAACTGAACTTCTTTCCGAGCGTCCGTCTTGATTTTATTACAAATTCGTTATTCCTTACCATAATGTCTTGAGCTTCACAATACTGTCTTGTCCAGTTAATTACCTTAATATTACTATACATTGATATCTTAATATATTGTCCTTAAGTCGACGCACTTCGTCTTATGTTAATACTTGCCTTCGAGATCTAACGTTCGGAAACTATGATGGTTCGTATAGGTAGGGAATAGAGTACGATAAACAAGCACACTCGGCGTGTTGCTTTTGGCCCCTGAGCTCATCACCCGCTTGACAAAAATTGTAAGCATATACTTCATTATTCAACAAAATTTTAATTCAGACATAGATATCATGTATATACCCGTGCGGATGGCCCTCGTAGATCACAGCTACGCTTTCGGTTCCGAGCCTTCATCTTCCCAGCTAAATAACTCTGGACCAAAGGTAGGAGAAGGGGCATTCGGTGGAATCTGATCTAGGTGGGGCACATAGACGAAATCAGGCATACAGCGCTCGAGGTTCTCAGCGCGGTGGTAATCTTCCAGCCATCTATGCCTGTATGTCGCTACCCGTTCCAGAAGGTAAGCAATATAAATTTCCGCGCCTTTCAGCTGTTCCTTGACGTGACGTAGCTCCGATTCTATTTCGCTTTTGGATTCTTCGTTGGTGCCTAGGTCATATTTTTCAGATACACCATACGGTTCCAAGTTGAATCGTGAAATCTCACGTGGCGTCTGAGTTCCTGAATGCTCCAATCTCTTTATTCGAAGGAGCTGCCTGTAGTCATGTTGGTCGTGAGTTATTTTCTGAACCGCTTCATTACTCACTCGGTATCGCGAAGCTCATCTCCCTCTGTACTTCGCAGCGTGTTCAATGAAGAAAATTGGAAGCTCGAGGTAACTTTGTGGGTTTGCGTCTCATGCGTATACTGAAACACTTACCTTAGTGTGACATCGCTTCCAAGATGGACACATCGCCGCAAAGTCTCTTGAAGGGGTGAATTGGGCATCGAAGGAAGAGGTCACAAATGCTGCGATAGCAGTTGCAGTTCTATATATCTAAATTTACTACGATGGCGCACGAAATTAATGCGCCATCCTCTTTATTTTACGTACTTCGATGGCGCATTCAAGCTAAATAAGTCGCGCTTGATTTAGATCACGACATCTATGGCGCTCTGATGGCGAGGCCATTGATTTTTTTTTAAAAAGAATGGCGAGGTTTACACATACCTATTAATGGCATGAATGTTTAGGTATATAAAGCCCCCCTCGTTTACTACCGATTTTACAGCTCGCCTACCTTTAATCCATGAGTGGTGACAAGAATAACTCTCCCAATGATTCCTCGCGAAAGCGTAGTGCTTCAGCGCTACACACGGGCCCGCGTAAAAAGGCGTAAGTGTTCTTTAATTGGTAATCCCATCCTGACTCAGTCTTCATCAGCACTTCATCAAATCCCCTGGTACTTCACGGCCGACATTTTGGTCAGACAGTGTTTGCCCTTTGTAATTTCCCTGCTCTTCTGACTTCCGGTATACTGCGACTTGAAGAACTACAGGATACATCCATCGAGGATTATCCAGCAGAGTGCGTCCAATTTGACCATTAACTGTTGCAAGGACTTGAATATTTTTCAATGCAGTGTTCGACGCGAACATAGGGTTTTCATGGAACTGATAGATTCCTACCCTGGTCTTTTAGCTCGTCTGACGGACAGCGAGGAGGAGGATATTATTCACGTTGGAGAATTAGTAAGTTTTTATTTTGCAATATCATCGTACTTATCGTTTGCAGTTAGGTAAAGGAGCCTCTGGTGCGCGAGGCGACGATACCAAGACCCTCAAGTCTGCTGTCCTGGAATGGCTTATGCCCAGAGGACAGCCACTCATACTGCCCCTCTCCCGGAATATCAAATCGGACCGCGGGTTCAATCATGAAGTTACCGGTAGGTTGCTCTGCCCCGCCGGTCTTGACTGGTCAGACGTAGAGTAAGTCTTTCCCCTATCGTATTAACTGTCTATTATAACATTACACAGAACCAAACAGGCTCTGAAGAGCGGTGAAACCGCAGTCAGTGGTGATCAATGGCCTGTATTCTTATATGCTGGGTACCACTATGATCCCGATGATCCATGGAAGGGCTTACTCAGGAGCGAGATACTAACTTTCGTAAGCTCGATTTCATTGCTGATAAAGTCCTTACTCCGAGCTATGTAGGGTTTCAAACATGTTTTTACATCTCCGAGCTCGGTGGATAAGGAGCCGAAGGCTACGCGCTCCGGCAACGCTTACCTGCATGGTATGAAGTCTGTGACTAAAGGCTCTCTAGCTTACATTGCTACACAGGCACGCAAATTTATTATATACGCCTTCTACTGCTGATTTTTTCCCTTTAGATTCGGTTTGCCTTAAGTTCGTCGTCAGTATTTTCACGTACCGACACGGTCACAGACTCCGACAATTTCTATCACAGCATTCTCGACTTACTAGAGGATCCTGACGAAATTGAGGAAGTTGATGACCTGATGACATGGTGGACACGGTTCGTAACTTATATTGTCAGCTCTATGGGGTCTAAACTCACACCTTGCATAGTCGAATATTTCCTAATTCTTCTTCCTCTCAGCGCAGTATCAGCAAAAACAGCGCGCTAGCTAAGATTCGGGAAAAATGTGCTGCCTTGCGAGAACTAACCATTGCCAACACACATTAGTTATTTACTGTTTTTGTAAATATATTATCCAATCAATGTCAATTTCCTATGTGAACATATATATGTGACCAAATCACCTCAAATTGATGTGGCGAGAAATCTGAATATTAGAAGCTTGATTTATTGTCATTCATGGCAGTTTCTGGCGTCGGAAGCTGCCCCTGTAATGGCAGATATGCTCTTTTGACAGAGAACACCTTGTTATGACTTGACGATGCAGTGCCAGAACTTGACTCGCAGTCAGTAATGGTGGTTTCCCCCATCGGAAGCTACCCCTGTAAGAGCAGATATGCTTGGTAGAAAACCAGCAACTTGATAGGTTATATAACTCAATATCATGTCCTGACGCACTGCCAGTGATTACAGAAACTGCCACTGGAAGCCACTCATGCAACAGTAGTTGCATCTGATAGAAGACCAACAGCTTTATATAGCATGATAACTCAATATCATATGGTGGCATACTGTCAGTGATTGTAAAGCCAGATATAATAGATAGATAATTAGCACCTTGCTACAATATGATAATCTAATATAAATGCTAGGTCATACTGACATGAATGGTGGCTTCTGCAATTCAAAGCTACCTATCTAAAGCCAGACATACCTAGTTGAAAACCAGCATCCTGATAAGATATTATATATCAATATCATGACCTGACACTTTGTTATCAGTGGTGGCTTCTGAATATTACAATCTATCTCGGTAACAGCAGATATGCTTGACAACCTAATATCATGCTAGGTCACAATGTCATTGATGGTGGCTTCTGCAATCCAAAGCTGCCTATCTAAAGCCAGACATAACTGGTTGAAAACCAGCATCTTGATAGGTTATTATATATCAATATCGTGACCTGACACTTTGTTATCAGTGGTGACTTCTGAACATCACAATCTATCTCGGTAACAGCAGATATGCTTGACAACCTAATATCATGCTAGGTCACAATGTCATTGATGGTGGCTTCTGCAATCCAAAGCTGCCTATCTAAAGCCAGACATAACTGGTTGAAAACCAGCATCTTGATAGGTTATTATATATCAATATCGTGACCTAACACTTTGTTATCAGTGGTGACTTCTTAACATTACAATTTATCTCGGTGACAGCAGATATGCTTGACAACCTAATATCATGCTAGGTCACAATGTCATTGATGGTGGCTTCTGCAATCCAAAGCTGCCTATCTAAAGCCAGACATAACTGGTTGAAAACCAGCATCTTGATAAGTTATTATATATCAATATCGTGACCTGACACTTTGTTATCAGTGGTGACTTCTTAACATTACAATCTATCTCGGTAACAGCAGATATGCTTGACAACCTAATATCATGCTAGGTCACAATGTCATTGATGGTGGCTTCTGCAATCCAAAGCTGCCTATCTAAAGCCAGACATACCTGATTGAAAACCAGCATCTTGATAAGTTATGATTCATCAATATCATTGCCAAGCACAGTGTTAGTGATTACACATTCTGTCATCAGCATATGGCCATGCAATGATAGGATGCATCTGTCAATAAAACACCAATGTGCTAGTGAATTATAACTTTGTACCATAGGCCTATCAATATTGTAGCTTTGGAAGATTCCACCAATGTAGGCTGCCTATCTATTCCTTTATCATGTGATCTACAATTGTGATATATATTTTCCATATTATACACTAAATAAGGCTAGCTAAACCTTTGTCAGACTGGAGCCAAATACCTGACACATCGGGGTGAACGATATTTAAAAGAGGTTTATATGTTGTACAAAATGTGAAGACAATATTTAATATTTAAACTGACATAAAGATGGGTGCACGACTTCAAATTTTGGTGGTGTTTTGTGTGTCATCCAAAATATCAAATATTCACAACCATATTCCCACAGACAATATGTCAACAAATATAATAAATATAATCAGATTTTCCATGTCTGCTTCAATTTAAAGTTTGATTCTTACATAAAACTTTGGAGAAAACTTGAAGTTTTGCCAAAGCTTGACATTTAAATCGAGTTTTAATGTCATGTCATCTGTAAAACTTCAAGTTTTCTCCAAAGTTTTACATGGAAATTGAACTTTAAGTTGAAGCAGACATGAAAAATCTGACTATATTTCTTATGTTTGTTGACATATTGTCTGTGGGAATATGGTTGTGAATATTTGATATTTTGGATTACACACAAAACACCACCAAAATTTGAAGTCGTGCACCCATCTTTATGTTAGTTTAAATATTAAATATTGTCTTCACATTTTGTACAACATATAAACCTCTTTTAAATATTGTTCACCCCGATGTGTGATGGGGATCGTGAAAGACATGCATCCGTTACGGGCAATTAGTCATGGCCGGCCGCCCACTCGGAAATAGGCGGATTAATAATGATAGCGTATCATAGTTTTTCAAGGACATTGATCATTTACTGCAACATATATTTTACTAAGAAATTGCTGAGTGCCGCAGGAAGTGCCCTACTACTTGGTAAGGAAGACATCATTACATCAATCTATGTTACTAATAAGTAGTATTAATGATGATACACAGGTATCAAGCCCTCTGATGCCAGAGCCTCTTCATCAGTGAACCGGTGAAGAAAGTAGAAAGCCATATATCACAATATATAGTACACAATCGCACACATCAGCATAATTCTGCCATCGGTCATTACATTATCATGTTTGACCTTGTAGAGGAAAGAAGTGTTTTTCATTTTCTTATATCTGCTTCCGATGTCAAAGCTACTCAGGAAAAACCTCCTTCTCAAATTGGATGAAATGCGATCCAACTTGCACAAATCTGCAAGAATTTGACGATTTGGCAATCTGTCCAATTATTTTAATCCCTTTCAAATTTTCGTAAATAGGATCTCAATTCACGACAATACTAGCACATTATTTTCAGGCAGCTTTTCCAATTCAATTAAATGATATCAAACAAATTCCATTAAATTTTAAATCTGACATAAACAGCGAACATCTATCTATCTATTATAGATGAGAGCGAGTGAGAGATATGTTGTTGTGTCGTCGTTGTATTGTCGTCGTCGTGTCATCGTTGTATCCGTCGTCATCATCGTTGTGTCGTCGTCGTCGTGTTGTTGTGTCATCGTCATTGTCGTCTCGTCGCGTCGTCGCATCGCATCATCTCGTCGTCGTGTCATCGTCATCTCGTCGCATCGTGTCGTCGTTGTCGTCGCATCGTGTCGTTGTCGTCGCATTGCGTCGCATCGTCGTCGTCATATCGTCATTGTCGTCGCATCGTGTCGTTGTCGTCGCATTGCGTCGCGTTGTCGTCGTCATATCGTCATTGTCGTCGTCGTGTCGTCGTCATTGTCGTCATTGTCGTCGTATTGTCGTCGTCGTCGTGTCGTCGTCATTGTCATCGTCGTCGTCGTGTCGTCGTCATTGTCGTCGTATCATCGTCGTCGTGTTGATGTTGTTGGGTTGTTGCTGTCGGGTCATCGTCGTTGTCATCGCACCATCATCGTCGGCCAAAGTGGCAAGTGAGAGTAGCGATGAGTGAGAGCGAGTGAGAGCGGGAAGAAAGGTTCAAGTTGAACTTTTGTGAGCGCACCGTCACATGAACAAACATATACAAATGTTGGACTTAGGATATTTCCAGCGCTGTAGCACAATTGATCCCGCTGATGCCTTGTAGAGCGCCGCTGTACTTTCACATTTGCAATAAGCAGCAATCAGAAACATGTAAAGCATTGTTTTGAAAATACTTAATGTAGTCTTATTGAAAGCGGAGGCCGCTGGAAGCGGTACAGCCAGTTTCAAAAGTTGTCCGCTAAAGGTATCTTCTCACGAGAAGGGCTTGAATAGCATTGTAATGGGATAAATAAATAGGGCCAAACGACAATGCACGAAATAATTGGGATAAGTCTACTACCACCCCTCATTATCTGAAAAGGAGGAATGTCATAGCTTTGTGACTAAATCTAATGGTATTTTATATTTGTCGACAAATGCCCGAGGCTCTTTCCATCAAAAGGCCTTAAATAACATTGTAATTAAAAAACAAGATCAGGTAAGATGTCGAAGCTCAAAACAATTGGCTCAGGTATACTACCACTACTCATTGGCTGCAAAGGCGGAATGTCCCAGGATTGTTATAAATCATTCATGTTAAGCTGGATTTACAAGCATACATGAGTATATATGTGCAACTCAAATTGCTCGCAGTATATAAGCTAATATTTGGCGGCGGCAGAATTACATCGTGCTATACTTCCCACGGCTACAATATCGAGGACTCATCAATTCACTGATGTTCATCCGGGCGAAATCCGAGTTTGTGAACCCACGAAATCACCGTAACTACAAATTTTCAAACTCAACATCTCAAAACCCCCCGTAGGCAGAGTGGTTACGAGTCCAGTCCACCGATACCCAACGTCATAATACAACTTGCTAGATGGCAACAGCGATTCACTTCCAACCCATTGGATTCATAACTAGTATGAACTATCATGTGGCTCGTGCTATACGCATCGCTGCCTCATCCACGAATGGTGGGGGTGGATCGAACCCTTGAGTCTGGTTGCGGCTTCAAATATTCGTAAAGTATATTTGTGACTATCGAAAATCATTTTGATAGTGAAGCATCGTGCATATATCTCTGAAGATCCCTCTACTTTCCTCCTTGCGTATGTCTCTGACCTTTCCCTGTATTAACTAGCACTAGCTTGTATATTTATGGAGAACTGCGCGCTCATCAAGATACTTTTTCCGTAGGACCTCGTCTCACTGCCCTGGGACCACCAGCCGCCACAAGATTTGGCGCCAGATAAAAGCATGCTTCAATGTCAAAATTGGCGCCAGCCCCGCGACTAGGTAGGTCTGAGTCATATACTTCCGGTTATCATTTCTCCATGCAGTCACTAATCGAGTACTTCTGCGCGCCATTGGGAATCTAGAATGGTATGGTAAGTTCATCTCTCAAGATGAGCGTCTCGGAAAATTTCAAACGCCTATCTCAGGGACTTGATTCTGTCACCTTGGGCGCCGGCGCAACCAACTACACTTTGGCGTCCGATAAGGACGTACTTTTCGGATGCCGTGCAGAGCCCCAGCTATATATTTCCACCATTTCCTCCTCTCTACTTTTTTTCTGTGTCTCCCCCAGCCCAAAATATGGCAAGCACATCATCACGGCCCAGTCCCATAACTATCACTACCGACCTTCTTATCAACGAGTAAGTAGCACGCTATACTCAGTTGTCCATAACACCCATAAACACACAGGAATACGATCCAGGCTGACCGTGTTACGAATATGTAAATTTCAACCAATCAGCATGGTATAATGTCTGACTCTATTGTTTGAAAGGGCAAGCACCCTAGAGCAGATCCGGGATGAACTCAGGCCGAATAATGTGAACGAGGACCGCGGAAGCCTAGTCGAGGATATGTAATAATCAACCAATAAGCACGTATACTTGATGTCTAACTATATTGTCTTAAAGGTCATACATGAAGACCCTGAACAATGGGATCGGGCCGAATAGTGCGACGGAGAATCCTGCGGTGTTTATCGAAGGAAGCCTTGCTATGAATATGTGAATGTCAATTCATCAGCACGGTTCACTTGACATCTAACTATATCTTGTCACAGGTCAGACACGCTGGGGCAGATTCTCGAAGTCCTTCGAGAATCTACTATTGCAGGAGAGTACGGAAAAGATGACAAGTCAAAGTTCTGGGCGAAATACAAGAAGATTTCGAATGAGTACGATGATGACTTCCTCAACCGAGCGCACAGCGATATAACTGTTATCTTGACTTTTGTGTGTTCGTTTCTATATTTATTAACGCAAATCTGACGGATGAATCAGGCTGGTCTACTCTCTACCGTCATCGCCACTTTCGTCATTGGAATGCAGCCCAACCCGACAGACACTACCAATGCCCTCTTGGTGCAGCTTATAGCAATTACTGTTAATGGGTCAAGTGCCGCACATGATATCAGCGATATTTCCTCATCTACGGAATATTCCTCTTCAACTGTCTGGATACAAACTCTTGCCTATATAAGCCTAGCGCTTAGTGTCATCGCTGCATTTGGAGGTGTTTTGGGAAAGCAATGTCTCAATTCATACGAGGCAGCTCGGGAAAAAGGAGGAACTTCAGAAGAGAGTGGCATGCAGAGGCAGATGAAATTAGATGGGCTGGTTCGGTTTCAGCTGCGCCCTTTGTTGCAGGTATTCCTTGTGCTCCTCCAGATTGCACTTATGCTCTTCAGCATCTCACTATGCCTCAAGACGTGGGCAGATCACGTGCCAACATTCGGATTCATGGCAACCAGTGCAACTTCTATCGCTCTTTCCTATGCAGGCACCATCCTTGTGTCAGTGTGGTGGCCCAATAGTCCTTTTCAGACCCCAGGGACAGATATAATTCGAGCCCTCTTCAAGAAAATTCTTCCAAAAAGACATTCATCTCTTCCCACGTTCGCCATATCGTCAGCCATACGCTGGATACTAGAGACATCAACAGACCCATCCATTGTTGAGGCTGCCGCTGCAATGGTATCTTCCGTGCCGTGGTCGCCGAACCTTGACGCTTCAGCAGCCTTCGCCCGTTTACGTGAAAGTTTCGTGGCGTGTCGTGACAGGGAAGAGCTTTATGTAAAGTATGGCAAAGCCATGGCCCATCTTTGCATCCAGTCTGTGAAAATCAAGAAGAAACATCTGTTGTTTGGTTGGGACGACAATAAATTCAAGTCAACCCGAAGTCGTTTCATCCGTGATGCATTCATGGCTGGACAGTATGCCTACTATCAGTCGAAGAATTCACCCACACCAAACGATATACTGAAGTATCGGGCTGATACACGCACTGCTCTCAGGACGATGCTTGTCCATGGACAGTCCTTCGGGCTTTCACGTCCTGATGATGAAGAGTTGATTTGGTCCGGTGATCTGTGCTGGTATCACGGCGATGGGGATGAAAATAGCTATGAAGAGTTTGATTGGCTCGTTGATTACCTGGCGAGCGACACAAACACAGACGATGAAACAGAAGGCGACGCTTTGCTTGCGCTGAGCGCCATGCAGGTGTTAGGGAGCCCTACCAAGCAACAATCCTACATCAGCTCGCTTATTCGCTGTTTGCACTCCACCACATCCCCCCGGGTTCGACACGCCGCGCTTAGAGCTGTTTTTGAAGCTCGAGAAGAACTAGCTTCTATAACCAGTACCTCAATGCCACAGGATGTTGGCGTACAACTCCTGGATGAGCTTTCCAAGGCTCTTCTAGCTGCCGTGCGTCTAGGTGCCGACGCACAACTCCTGACTACTATTCTAATTGCTGTGCGTCCAAGGGACGACCAGACAACCCACGACACTGGACCCGACAGCTCTTTCCACGAAAATCGAGACTATTGCTACATCCGCCTCATTTACGCTCTGACAGAGAACGACGAGTGGTGTCGACGTCTGGCCCGTGATGGACATCTCGATCGGTGTATTTCCCTAGTTGACGGAGTGTCTCAAAAGGGCGATTCGGATGTCGGATTCTACCTTCTAGTGATCTTTGGGCGCATCGCGTTCTCGGGCAAGAATTTTCCTTTCAGTCCTGCCGAGGAGAGATGGCGGCTACTCCTCGAGAACCCATGGAACTCGGCAAAATATCTTGTAGGGGAAGATGGCTATGTCGATGAAATACCAGCCTTCGTGACAGCGACGAGGCTGAATTTGACAATCTCAAATGATGGTGTTCCGAAGGAGTGGTTCAAAGGTCTCGCTGCAGATGTTCATATGACTTTGGTCAATTTGGGGGATCCGAAGAGACAAGCGATCCTTGCAAATGATGGCGTGGCTCAAGCTACCATGGACGCTGCGTTATCCTCTATGCAGGGCTTGTACGACGATTTATGTTGTATGACTGAGGGCCAGAACGCCCTGTAAAGGGAAGGTGGAACTTTGGACTGACAGATAGCATCAGTAGTGAAGTACTGTTTCGCATTTTTTGCCCACATTCCTATGGTTAGATTAGTGGGTTCGGGAGATAGATGGTATTTACTCACAGAAAGGCCACAGGGTTTTTTTTACTTACCTTGTATTCATTGTAATCGTAGTTCTGTTTTGTCTATCAAGATTCAAGAAGTAGGCGACTAACGTTTGAGCAATCATGTCAAGCGTTGAGTGTGTCACTTGGATACATCCAAGAATTTATCCATAGCAAATCGACTTGAACCACACAGTCAACAGTAGTCAGATCTCCATTCGAGTGTTAAAATTATAGGTTGACTATGGGTACAGAGTGAATATGTACAACTGTCGCAGAAAAACCGATAAAATGAAATTTATCACGCTCATGTGACAGGTAGACATTAGAATACTCGTATATTATGCGTCTTCGCCCTCGTAAGCCTGCAATTCGAGGAAGCGTATGAGCAGGTGCATTGCGACAGCATATAAAAATCTGCATGTCAAAATGGCTGCCTCTCTTTGGATCGGCTTGTCACTTGACGAGTACTTTTTCGACCTAAATTCTCTCTGGGCAAAAGACGACAATGAGCAAGGGGTAAATCGAAAGACAATACTTTGACACACTGCCCACATCTGGCGCACCGAACGCTTGCATCATGCCACGCTGGCCTCTCGTACCAGGCTACGATTGAGTGTAGACAATACAGACTCTGAACGTGAAACCTTGTCTGATGACAGATTGAGCCGTGCCCACAGACTGTTGTATTTTCACCGACGGAGAACACTAGAATCATGTTGCAGAGGATTAGTGACATAGAGCTAAGACCGGAGGAAGAGCATCGGAGGAAGAGAGGACGATGGTGATGACGAAAGCATGGAAGATGCTAGGAGGAGAGCGAGGCTGGGACGATTTCCTGAGTGGAGAGCGTATCATAGGTGTACATCCTGCTAACGTTCAAAGATTATCATCACATAATACAGAAATAATTTGACAGGCACATAGTATTTTTACTAGAAGAGACCTGCAGAACTTGATATCATGTGGGACCTCAGATCTAGATCATCCGGCGCCGGGATGTATCATTGACCGAAACATGTCAATCGAGACATAACCTATGCGTAGCAATTGCGACGTTGATGTAGGGGTATGTCAGAACGTGTGAGAGTGTCATGGAAAGCGCCAGATCGTGTAGATCTAGTTGATAACAACAAATGATGAGCATTTTTAAACTTGTGGGCGTAGCGCGCGTGCAAACGCATACACTTCGCGCAAACTTCACGTGAATTCTATACTCTTCGCACTCGTTTCCCAATTGCATGGATTAGCAACTTTTGCATTGGCCATCTACTGCGTATTTGCAGACCTGTCCGTGTATTCGTCTAAATTTGTTGTCGAGATCGTGCGAGGGCGCTTTCATGGGCAGTGCATGACAAGTGGCAGGATGGATGTCCTCGGTGAATGCCGAGGGTGTTTTAGTACTAATACCGCCTTCAAGGCTTACTAAGCTTCAACGTTCACCTGGTCACGAGTCGGCCCACCTCGCACCTACTAGTAGAACAGGCAACACTTCCGGATGTTTCTCGCACAGATTTTCACCGGGAATCGGTTTCCCATAGATGGTCATTGATTCCTCCTGCCGTGGACGCCTTATTCGGTTCAAGAAGTAATACGCTGCAACCTGAGTACCTGAGGCCATGCATAACTCGGGCCCAGTGAAAATCCGACAGTGCCAGAGACGTTCGGAGAGTGCCGCATTGGCACAGTGCACCACCAACTAAGCCGCCCTCGATCTCGACAACAAATCTGGATGAGTCACAGTGGTGACACGATACAAACGTAGTCAGCATCGTCACAGTGTGTCGTCGTGCGAGGATGTTTTGCACAGACAAGCAGCAGATTGTAAATGCAAACGTTGCGAAACTCATTGAGTTCGTGACTATGAACCACTGCGAGGCTTCATACTACACGCATCCGAGCTACCTCAAACGGCGGGGGTGAATCGAACCCTCGAATCTGATCACAGCTCTGAACCTCTGTAGATTATATTATCGAAAATTATTTCGATAGCGAAGCATCGTCCGTGCGTTTCTGAAGAATCTTTCTACCTCCCTCCTTGTGTACGTACCTAACCGTCATTTTCCATACTAACATTGGCCTGTATATTGATGGAGAACCGCGCGTCCATTCTCATACTTCGGGAGACCGGGACAGCACAGATGGTTCTGCCTCAACGATTACCCACTATGCCAGGGCCATCAACCATATATACAGGCGTTATTAAGATCATGCTTCATTGTCAAAATTGACGCTAGCAGTGGCTACGGAAGTCGGAGTCACATACTGCCGGTTACAATTTTTTCCCTCATTTCCTTCAGTCGCTGATCTAAAACTTCAGCGCTCTCTCTAGCTAGCATGTGGTAAGCTGGTTCCTCAAAATGAGCCCCGCGGTAGAATTCAAACGTATGTCTCAGGGGCTTGATTCGGTGACACTTTGTGTACCGGCTCAACCGGTCACAAGGCTTTGGCGTCTGATAAGAACATGCTATCTAGATGCAGTGCAGAGCCCCGACTATATATTTCCACCATTTCTCCCCTCCTACTTTTCTATGTTACCCTAGCTCAAACATGGCAAGCGCATCACCACGACCCAGTCCCCCACCTGTCGGTGCCGACCCACAGACTAATGAGTAAGTAGCAAGCTAGACTCAGTTGTCCATGATACTCATGCACACACAGGAATGCGATCGAGGCTGACCTTGTTGCAAATATGTGAATGTCAATCAATCAGTGTGGTATAATTGACGTCTGACTCTATTGTCTCAAAGGTCAAGCACCCTAGAGGAGATCCAGACTGAACTCAAGCCGAACAATGCGAACGAGGAGCGCGGAGGCCCGGCTAAGAATGTGTAAATATTGACCAACCAGCGCGGCCAAGGTGACGCCTAACTATATTGTTTTAAAGGTCAAACACCCTGGAGCAGACCCCGGACAATAGTATCAAGCCAAACGACACGAAGGAGAATCCTGCGGTGTCCATCGAAGGAAGCCTTAATAAGATGTGAATGTCAACGCATCACCACGCTACGCTTGACGTCTCACTATTTTCTCAAAGGTCAGACACGCTGGAGCACGTTCTCGAAGTCCTTAAAGGATCAACGATCGCAAAAGAACGTGGAAAGGATGACAACTCAAAGTTTTGGGCGACATACAAGAGAGTTTCGACTGAGTACGACAACGATTTCCTCGAGCAGGCCGATGACGACATGGGCATTATTCTGACTTTTGTGCGTTTCTTTCTACGTCTCTCGATGCAAGTCTCATTGGAGTATTAGGCTGGTCTATTCTCAGCTGTCAACTCTACCTTCCTCGTCGGGTCGCAGCCTAATCCAGGAGACACTACCAATGCCCTTCTCCTGTATCTCATCAAGGTAACTGTTGACGGCTCAAATTCCGTACCTGACATCAGCACTCTTTCCTCATCTACGGGATTTGTCCCTTCGACGGTCTGGATGCAATCGCTTTCCTACGCTAGCCTCGCATTTAGCGTCTTGGCTGCGTTCGGAGCTGTCTTGGGAAAACAATGGCTAAACTCTTACAAGGTAGTTCGAGAAGGACGAACTATTGAAGAGCGCGGCATAGAGAGGCAGGTGAAGCTAGACGGAGTAGAGTATTTTCGCCTGCAGGTCTTTTTACGGATGTTCCTAGTGCTGCTCCAGATTTCGCTCCTGCTCTTCGGCCTCTCGCTAAGCGCCCGCATATGGGTCCTGCAAACCACAATATCCAGCATCATTATCTGCGTTACAGCTTTCGGTATTCTGTTCTATGTCGGCACTGTGCTCGTATCGGTGTTGCGTCCGGACAGTCCTTTCCAGACGCCAACCTCGGAGCTATTGGTTACCATCTACCGAAAATTCCGTCCCGACAAAACTCCATTCACTTTTAACTTATTCGGCAAATCGTCTGCCATCCGATGGATACTAGAGATATCAACAAACCCGGACATTATCGAGACCGCGGCTGCCATCTTACCTTCCGTGCAATGGCCCCGGAAGCATGATGCTTCAGCAACCTTCGCACGTTTGCATGACCATTTCGTGGCGTGTCAGGACAAGGAACTATATATAAAGTTTGGCAAAGCCATGGCCCATCTTTGCGTCCAGTCGGTGAAAATCAAGGAGCATTTTCTGAAGTTCCATTGGAATGATGAATTTCAGGGAATGCGAAGTCACTTCATTCGCGATGCGTTTATGGCTGGACGGGCTGCCTACGATAAACTCAAGGATTCGGAGAAAGAAGACGATGAAATGAAGCATCGTGCCGATACACGCACTGCTCTCAGAACACTGGTTGTTCATGGAGTGGACGAACAATTTTCACGTCCGGACGATGAACACTTGATTTGGAATGGTGATCTGCGTTGGCGTCACAGCGACGACAGGGAGCCTAGCTGTGAAGAATTTGATTGGCTCGTTGATTACCTGGCGGATGACGCAGAGCACGACATGGACGATGAAACAGAGGGTGATGCGGGCCATGTCAAAGATAATGAAACAGAAGGCGATGCTTTGCTTGCACTGAGCGCCATGCGTGGACTAGGGAGCTCTACCAAGCAACAGTCCTATATCAGGTCGCTTATCCACTGCATGGGGCCCACCAGACCTCCCCGAGTCCGTCATACTGCGCTTAGAGCTGTTTTTGAAGCTCGAGAAGAATTAGCTTCTCTGACAAGTGCCTCGGCATCGAAGGGTGTCGACGCACAACTCCTGAATGAGCTTTCCCAGGCTCTTTCAACTGCTGTGCATCCAAATGACCACAAGACAATCCACGACGCAGCACTCGACCACTACCTCCACCTCCTCTATGTCCTCACAAAGAACAACGAGTGGTATCAACGTCTGACACGTAATGGTCATCTCGACCGGTGCATTCCTCTAGTTGACGCTGTCTCTCATGAGCGTTTTTCGAAAGTCGGATTCTACCTTCTTGTGATCTTCGGGCGCATGAAGTCCTCGGGCAAGGAAGTTCCTTTCAGTCCTATCAAGGACAAATGGCGGGTGCTCATCACAAACGCGTGGGACAACGCGCAATATCTCAAAGAAGAAGACGACTACGTCGATGGAATACCAGCCTTCGTGACAGCGACGAGGCTGAATTTGGCAGCCTCGTATAACCGTGTTCCGACGAAGTGGTTCACAGAACTCGCTTCAAAGGTGCATCAAGCGTTGATCAAATGGCAGAAGAAACAAGCGATCCTTGTCACGGTGGATGATGGTATAGCTCGGGCCAAAGTTGATGCTGCAATATCCGATGTGCAGGGCCTGTACGACGAGCTGAGTCGTATGATCAAGCAACGGGACAAATCGCAAGAATTCCGAGAAAAGAGTTTCGGGATCGAGAAAGACATGCAGGGGTAGCGAAGTACTTTTACGCATTCATTACGCGCGTTGTAGTTCATTCCTGTGGATAGATTGGCGCCTGGTTCATGAGATGGAAGTCGTTTTATCATAGTGGTTATCACTTTCCTTACCTACCTTGCAAATGTTTTACAATTTTAGTCCTGCGTTGTCTGTCAAGAAGTCGGCGACTGACGTTTGGCGCCATCATCACGTCAAGTACTGACTGTCACTGAGATCCAGCCAAGAGCTTCATGGAAAATCGATTTCAGCCACACGTTGAGAAGTCGGCTGCTACTGTGCAGTCAACAAGAGATGTTTGAATGCGGAATGGCTCTGGTTGCACACGCGCACGATATCTCATATTCAGCAACTGATGCGCAAGTCAAGCTTTACAGATGGAGGATGGGAGGTTCACGATTGGTTACGGAGAAAAAACTCTCCAAATAATCTAAAGGATGTACTGATCAATGAATCACCTATCAATAAAATACTGCTTTCAGTCAATAAAGATATCATAACAAGATCGACAATATGACCGAAGTATTCGAGAGACATTCAAAAACCCGCTAGCAGCAGACACAGGACTTTCCGCCTCCGTGTTGCCCAGGGTCTATAGGGATTGCTACTGCTTGCTGCTGTTGTTGTTGCTGTTGTTGTCGGTGCTGTTGCGTATTGGGGTCCGGCGAAAGAGCGTCTTCATCGCGTATCAAGGAGTGCTCACTCCCAGGAGCACCCGCTGCAGCATTACGCTGTAGATTTAAGTGTGAGATACCCAAGAAACAGTTATAAAAAATAACCAAGCGCACTTGTCGACCCTGGGCAAAAGGAACCTCGACAACAGGCGGTGTTACATGATGGGGTGACCGGGAGAATAGGTGACGTAAATGAGTTTTGATGGTGGTGGTGACAGTGACTGGTGGTGAGGTGGTGGGTGGTGCAGGTGTAGGTGCAGGAGCTTCCTGAGGCCTCCTCGCCATAGCGAGCCTGAATCTTTTGAGGCGCCCAGGGCGTTGTTGAACTCTTGGCCTGGAAATCTGAGAATGCTGTGATGAATTATGAGCGAGAGAACAGAAGGATACGCTCGTGAACATACTTGATGGGTTCCATAGAAGAAATTGGGACCTGCATCATAGCCATCTTGCTCTTGCCCGGGGATCTCTGCCTGCATAATAGTCAGTATCGAAAGAGGTAAGGAAAGAGGCACATACACCAAGAATACGGTCGTTGTCCGCAGCGAGCGTGCTGCATTTCTCCTTGAACTCTGAGTGACATGCGGGTGAGCATGATAGTCGTGGGTAACATGACGGAAGACTTGCCATTGGACCAATCGAGACAGCTGGCCTTCACGATGTCGTCGATGGCGTCCATCATGTATTTGTGTGCTTGGAGGGCTTCGTCGAGTTTACCTGCCGAAAGGAATGCCTGGCACCGTTTCTGGTGTGTAGTGAGTAACAAGGACTCGAGATCCCAGCCGAAGAGCTGGACAAAGCATTAGGTTATGACAAGCATTATGTACGCATCATGTCGACGCACCATGGTCAAGTCCTGGTATGCGAAATGAATGTATTTCGATGATAAAGCGTCTGAGTTAACAGCGGCAGTGAAGTGATCAGCGGCTTCGTCGTGACGCGCGCCATCGATAGCTTTGATTCCGAGCTGAACACGCAGATATGTCTATTGTGCGAGTTGAAAAGATCAGGATTGATGATCGAGTGTGGCCACATGATACTCACTTCCACGACACGACGTGCGAGGATCGACATTGGGACAAGCGACAGCCAGGTCTTTGATGAGCAGCATTGCTTCCTCATGTTGATCTGCGTTAAAAAGTGCGATGGCCTGGAATACCGGATGAAGCAGATAGCATGGGAGGAGACGAATTAAATGTACCTTGATCAGGAGAAGAAATTGGTTGATTTGTGAATTTTGGCTTGTGAACATAGATGCGACGTCAAATGCTATCCTTGCTTCCCGGACGTGGCCTTTTCCGCAGAGGGCGATGCCTTTAGAGATAAAGCCTACCAATGATGGCCGAAAGTTGATGGACTACGTTACGGATGAAAGTTAGCCTTTCGTAAAAGGGCCATGACAGGTCAGTCCATCTCACCTGGATTGCATCATCAAGAGCATGGTCCCAGTCGTGCTTCCGAGCCCTGACGAATGAACGATTGGCATACGAAATAAAGTCGTCAACGTTGGTGTGGACATCTTGCGTGAGGAGCTCTTCGGCGATAGACAAGTCCCCAGTTAGACATGCATCGCGGGCTGCAATTGTGATGTCAAGAATCTGTACAAAGGATGCTCGAATTGCATAATGAGAGTCAGAAAAAGGAAACTCGCCTTTGAATGAGCGTCCTTTGGTATTGCCCATTCTGAGATCTGATTGTGACCTCCGCCGAGGATGTGCTTGCCGTCCACACAGAACGTGGCACATGTCGCCGACGATGAATGCTGGAAGACGGCGATGGTTCGTTGATCTGAGAGCCGCCAGAGACGGACATGGTTGTCATCAGATGCAGAAGCGACGAGCGTGCCAGAGGGATGAATGACAATGGCGTTGATATCTTTAGTGTGGCCTTCCCAGCGATGACCAACCTGCTGCCAGGTTGATGTGTCCCACTCTGATATGTATTTACTGCCTCCTGAAAGAAGGCGTGTGCCATCGGGCGTCCACGCGAGTGACACATTCCAACCTGTCAAAAATGCGACGCGTTCCCTTGTGCCTGGATTATAAACTTGGATATTATCGTATGTTGCGATGGCAAGAAGTTCACCAGAAGGCGAATATCGAACGCAGTGGACAGGACTGTCACACTTGATTGGATCTCCTTGCATCTGCCTGATTCTGCCTGCCACGTTTTGGTACTCCAAAACTTGACCGTCTTGTCCCATGAACCAGTGGCCAGCACCATTCCATCCCGAGAGAAATCCACCGAGGTGATCTGATAGGGGTGGGCTTTGATGGGTTGGGTGATGGATTCGCCAGTTTCTCCGTGCCAGGCGATGACTTCTCCACCCAAATCACTGCTTGCTATTATTTGACCATTTCGTGACACCGCCAATGCCCGCACCCAATTGCTATACCCTTCCATCTTCTTCAACACAACACCTGTCTCCAAGTCCCAAAGACGAAGTGTCTTGTCGTCTGAAACTCGTAATCATTCGTCGTTTATCGGGGAACACTGCGACTACCCTTACGGCGTCCTCATGATCTTCAAAAGTTCGAATGGGTGTAGTGCTTGGAATGAGCTGTAACATCTTACTGGACGTTGATGGTATTGAGCACGGCCGAGAGATTGCGGGTGTCTTTTTCTAAGTTACAGAAGTGCGTGTATTGTGCGTTTTTATGTTGCTTCACCACGCTAACCATCCTCGCTTCCATAGACGCCCAAGACACGAGGCAGTTCGCCATCAACGCCTGCTCCCAATCAGGCCGCTTATAACCGACTGCACTGGTTACATGCATTCGACATTTGTCTTCACAGTTTCAAGCCCTACCGAGACATCAAGCGAGTATCACACCTCTCCAACAAACTTTCAAGCTCGAGTCGTATGTCTCATGACCGCTCACCTTACAGCTCGTTGTAGACCAGTATAAAGTATCTGGATGTCTTGGTGCGTCTTGAAGCTTGATTGTTGTTCCTCGTCAGGAGGGGAACATTTCCAGTACTGTGCACCAAGAAGATTAAGCTTGCTTTCGCCTGCAGTGCATTTGAGCTGGAGAACGAGCATTATGCGCATCATAAATAAAAATACAAGAACATTGTAGCGAATGATTTGTGAAGCGCAAAGTAGTCTCGATTCTACCATTCCGATCAACATCAGTGGTCGTCCGCGCCTAGTCATTCCCATCTAATGAGCCGAGTCGCTCCGTCATGCCGCGACTGTACTCTGCGACTAGCTAGTGTGGAACCACGAGTGCCAACAAAGCCAGCTTCATTCGACCGAATGATAACATCAATGAACACCGGATGCCTGGTAACAGCCACAACTTAAGTTAACGTCAGAATGAAAATATGACATCTAATTTACTCACCATTTTCCATAGATCTCCTCTGTCCGTTCCGCTGCATAATCTACCCACGTCCGCCCCAACGCCCCAACATCTGACCACCATCACGGGTCCCTTTCGTCGCTCGTCATGATAACATGTGTGTCATCAATTCCTTTTCGTGTGCGAAGCTCTTCTTGCACCTCAGACACCCTGCGTGCAATGACAGACAACGGGACGAAGCACTGATCCACAGGAAACTCCTCGCATTGCTGGCCGAAGTTACCGTGCCGTATGTGGATCAATATATGATATCAAAAATTAGATCTGTAGAGCCCGAAACTTTCACTCACAGGAGGTGTTGGTTCATTCATGGCGCGTCGGGCATCCGCATCGGCAATCTTTTCCATGCTTGCAGTCCATCGCATGTGTTGGCCTACAGATCTCCATGCAGGAGAATAGTCTATTTCCCATTCCCATGTATGATGAGCGCTTATGTAGTAAAGGAAATCGAAGCATAATACGTGATCGTCCGGGGGAAGGGAAACCTGTTGCTGAAGAGAAGGACGGTTCGTTAATGATAATTCCAGGCTTTTAGAGCGACTTTCTGGAAACCCAAGTGATGCGAGATACGAAAACGATGCATTATTTTGATGCACGCTAGGAGATGTAAGTTCGACCCAAGATGGGATTCGCGTCCACCAGACATCTGTGATGGTCACGCGTTTAATCACCGAAGAGGGATGCCCGAAGTTGTCTCACCGAGCTTCAGCAGGTTCAGGGAGGGACTTCGTCGTGGTTCAGGAATCTCGATGTGCTGTTAAACGGTTTCCCAGACAGTCCAACAACCAACATCATTGAGAACCTGACTTTCTGGATCCTTGACTTCGTTTGAAGCAAGTGGATCCCTATGGCTTGACCGAGTCGAGGGATGTCAAATACTTCCCCGAAAACAAATAGAGGTGCGCTTGGGTCGATATGGTTGGAGAGGAACTTTGGGATTATGGGTATACGTTCTGTTATGAGAGCGAGGTATATCAAATTGCCCTAGTTCTTGTGAGGAACCGGGACGATGTCAGAAGTGGTTCGTTCACTTACTCTTTCATCATGCTGCGCTGGCCTCTGGTGCCCAGTACGATTGAGTCCGGAAGGTACCGAGAAATCAAATGCTCGAGAGTTCTGGTGACTTTGCCAGCAATAAGCTCGATGAAAATGGATAGCTACGATACACACAATGAGATCATATCGACACGACGACGACATACCTCGTGTTCTATATCGTTCTCAACACACTTGTCTTTAATCTGTCTGGTGCATAACCTCATGGGCGTCTTCTCGGACGGGTTTATGATCATTTTTCTTGGTCGTGTTGGAATATCTGTGGATTCCTTCACGGGAGATAATAGTCACTCACCCAAATCGTCTAGAATGTCGAGAACTAGAGTTGGTATCGGAGGGTGTAAGAAGTAGGTGGGAGAAAACAGAGAGCGTCTGGTATGGGCCGAATAGCCTTGACCAAAGCATAGCCAACACGTTGACCGGATTCTTGAAGCACTAATCATGATGTAGTATCGGCCATAGCCCATTGCCGAAGGAAATATAAAGCCTTGAAGGGGCACTGATGCATGATACATGATGGGCCATATAGACGCACCTATCACAGAAACGACGGCATCATAACAATATAGTGCACAATTGATTTCACGAGCATAGTACATGTAGAGGCAAGGACCGCAAGGTTCGGTCTATCATCAACTATTGGAAATCTGATGTCCCACGGTTATTAGTCTGAAAAAATCTTATGGTTTGTACATGTTTTATCATCCTCGAAACCTTTACTGCATTCCAGCGGCATACCGCGTTCTACCATCCCGTTGTTGTGGAACAGGAACTAGCTGTCTGCTAACGACCGTCATAGGACAAGGTTTTGTACAACTTGGAAATGCAAGCAGCTGCGAGCGAAGACTATGACTTGACCAGCACTGTCATGTCCTGTCTTGTCGGAACTTGACCTCGACACAGACGGTACAATAGCTTGGGCAGCACTACTATCGCGCTAAACTTCAGAAACGATTCATCGACGGTCTTGCAAAGAGCCTTCACGGAGACCTTCCGTCAACGTCCTAGTCAAGGAGTATCTTGAAGGGATAACAATCTGGCCTTGCGCGGATACTTGTTGGAGTCACGAGGGTCATGGGTCATACGAATCTCTCGCCGGTATGAACTATCATTTAACCCGGTTGGATTTGCAGGCACCTTGGCACCTGGCAGGCCCAGAAATACAGCTTATCTCGCTATTGCCAAAGGCCGGCCACAAAGCCATTCCAATTTGTATGGTAGGGTCCCGACAAATTGCATGATTGATGAACCCGCATCGTTTGTGTATGTCACAATCACTGTACTTACGAGTATGCATTGAATTCGATGATAATGACAGCTCATCCAAGAGATGCCATCAGGCTTCGAGCTACTACTAGGGTACTGTAAAGTATCTTCCACGTTGATCAAAATGGTGTGAAATCTCAACAGATCCAGCGGAAGTAAGACCTCTATATGTGATGGTACAATGCTAACTTGAACTCAAAGGTTACGGGCGGAGGACTCAGAGACACGCACGATTTGGGGTAAGGTTTCGATCTGTGTCGATCATAGTGCGCTCACCAGTCTTTCTGTTGGCACTACATATGCACGGTGTCAACCCTTTAGACTTCAATATTCAATGTCGTTCCAGTGGCAAGGCCTGCCTCTGGTGAGCAACACAATGAATTCCTACACTGAAAGTGATTGTGTCACACTCGGCGAATTCCCACAACAGTATCCAGATATAGGACTACTGACCTTTGAGCAATTCCGAGGTTTCTCCATTTCTGTTTCACACTGCGTACATTTCAAGCGAATCCTGCGTTCGTTTTGAGGTATCGGTACTTGCTAGAGCACGGAAAGTATCCTGCTCTGGATCAATCACACATATGATGGCATTTGGAATCGCAGAAGAGTCATTCGTGTCAGTCATGTCTTCGCAAAGGCTGTTGGCAAGCTGCAGGAGATATTTTGGGTGCAATGAACCGTGGTACTGTAATTGATTATCTGCAACGCGAAGCGCCGAAGTACTCCCTATTATGGACGTCACGTTCGTAACGAGCAGACCTCGGCCTCCGTCTTATTTGCAATCTAGGACCTTTTCGCTGATTCCACATGGTCAATTGAAGCGACCCATATATCCCGCGTCTTGAGATCTCATGTCTCTCACACATTAACGAGTCTCATTTGATGGACTAATGCCTATCATTCCAGATAATACCCCCTACCCCACTGATGAATAGTACCACGGGCACTGTCAACTTCAAAGTCGGTGACGAGACATACCAAACCTGGTACAACGTCATTGGTGACCTCAATTCAGGCAAACGGCCACTTGTCACGCTTCATGGATGTCTCACATCTACATGATATCGCATACCGAGATTGATTCTCTATACGGCATCCCAGTCATCTTCTACGATCAACTCGGCATCGGAAAATCTACCCATCTTCGCGACAAACCTGCCGAATTCTGGACCCCAGAACTATTCATGGACGAACTCGACAACCTTCTCGTGCAGCTTGGTGTCGAGAGTGACTTTGATCTTCTGGGGCACTCGTGGGGAGGGATGTCGCCCAGCGCCAACCTCCCGGCCTCCATCGTCTAGTCATATCCAGCTCTCCACCCTCGGAGCAACTGTGGGACGAGAGTATGCTGGGATATCTGGAAGCTTTTCCGGTAGAGTTCAAGGAGATGGTGTTGAAACATGAGAGAGAAGGCACCGTCTCATCGGCGGAGTACCAAGCAGCCATCCAAGTTTTTATGAACAAGCACACATGCCAGACGATACCCTGGCCCGAAGAGCTGGTTGCTTCGTTTGCTTCCGTGGAAGAAGATCCCACCGTGTCGAATGCCATGTAAGCGTACCAACCACTCGAATTCTGGAGGACTCTGAGCTCAGTCCTGAAATTCAGGTCAGGGACCGCACAATTCCACTCGATTGGTTCATTGAGAACTTGGTCAGTGATTGACCGCCTTCATCGTATTCCATGCCCCACACTCGTCACGAATGGGCCTGAAGAGGGAGCTCAGGACTACGTGATTGCTCCTTTCATCGAGAAAATACCTAAAGTTAAGTGGGTCAGGTTCGCGAAGAGTCATATCGCGTTCTTCGAGGATAGGGATTATTACTTCAAGGCAATCGGTGATTTCTTGAGGGTAGACTGACAGTGTTCGTTTCGTTAAAATTTGACCTTTGGAAGTTTTCACTACTCGTCTCGGGGAAGGTTTATAACGAATACATACGAAAATATACTACGATGCTGCCCGCTGATTGGTGATGATTGTGTCATTTGTGCACTTCATGCCACACCAGGGTTCATTTCCTTGTCGCAATATGTGACCACGTTGGAGCTCTGTCCAATGCTGATGCATTGATGAAACAGCCGTCAACAGGATGTCGAGAACTAAGGTTTGAAGTTACCTGAAAGTCACTTCACGCCATCAAACAACACCTGTCAATGATGATGTCGACACGACGACGACATGACTTGCGAGTGTCAACCGTTGTGGCGTCCAACACTAGGCCCTATATCAGTTGGCTCCACGCCAGCTGCACTAGACTTGGCAGTGTGCGAGTCAGAAGAACAAGTCAATCATAAGTGATCCAGCATAATATTGAAAGCCTCTATTGCGGGCATTCCATCAGTCGAACTATTTGTAAACTCATCTAAGATCACAAGATCACATCTCTGCCCACATCACCGGCCCCATCACGACGCCAATAGTCCATATCTATACCATAAAAATCAATCAACATGTTGCAGAAAACGCATCGGATGATCTTACGACGTTCAGCGCTTTAACCAGAAGCAACGGGTATTCGTAAAATCGCGGAGCATATTTATTCCCAGGTCTAGGATGGGTGAACAACACCCAGATGGAGAATACCACCATGGTGATCGAATTGCGTACCAGCAACGACGGAGATTTCAGGATCCTGAACCAGATCAGCACGAGCGTGACAATCATCGATATATCACTGACCCAGCTGCTAATAATGACATGGGCTCGTGGGAATACTTGACGTCTTTCCCGTAAAACTTGAATGTTCCTTCCTGCATAATGTCAAACGCCTCGCCTACGATCATAAGCCTTCAAGCATTCGACGGCTGATATTGACGTACCATGGGCCGAAAATATCCCAGCCCAGCTCATGCTCATAATATTGATAGTGGATGCGAGCGGTTTTCTCATGTGGTGCCACTTCCTGAGGACAGCCGAGATTTCATCCCAGTTGCCAAAGCTCTCGACGTGGGCCAGAAGATCAGAGAGGATGACTGCATCATTCAAGGCGACCGTCATTCCACCCGCAGTCAGCGGGTGACGCATATTCAATGAATCTCCCAGCAGAAACACGCCTGCCTTGCTACGTTCTCCCTGCTTTGTGGGCGGAAGGTAATAATGCGGTGCTCGTCGCACGCGCGATGTTTCTAGAGCATTGAGAATAGGCACGCGGATCGACGATGGAAGCTGGGGAACAATGTCGCGCAGTATATACTCCTGCAATATTGATGGTAAGTGAGGGCGATCACGACAGCACAACAAGGCAGAATTACGAACCTTGAGATCTGGCGGCGACTCCTTTAATTCGACCAGCATCCGATACTCATTGTTGGGGAGCTCAAAAAGGACGACCGGTCCAGCGCGTTTGAGTACAATCATAGTGGCATACTGGGGTACTGGCAACTTCAGGTCTTTCAAAATCAGACCTGCCAAGTAACCCTTTTGCGAAGGCTCATACGGCATGCTTCCGAGGACAGCAGTTCTGAACTTGGATGAGGAGCCGTCCGCGACAATGACGAGGTCAGCAAAATATGACTCTGGCTGACCACCTGCTTTGGAGGCATGAACACCTATTACGCGATGTGTGTCCTCATTTTCGATGAGACTGATTACTGTAGTCTCGATCACGTCAACATTGGGCGCCCGCTGTGCGCGGTCGCGCAAGGCCATGATAAACGCTCCATGATCAAAAGCTCGGGCGTCATGGCCTTCCGGGAACGAGGCGCAAATGCCCTGCTCCCCTCGCAGAATGTGATAACCTAACAAAGAAACAGAGCCAAGATCCTCGAGGCATGACTCCAGACCAAGCTGCTTAAGCGCGGTGACGCCACCAGGCTGGAGCAATTCGGCGACGATACGGTCTGGCTTCGACAAGCAACGCTCAAGTAGAGCTATCCGCAAAGGAGCACGCCGCTTATCAGATGTCTTTGTGGCAAGGGCATGGGCAAGAGCTGGGCCTGCTACACCGGCACCGACGATGAGTACGTTGTAAGAAGAAAGCATGGCAGGATGGACAATTATGACAGGTGAGCCTCACCTGGTATTTATCAGAGAAGAGCCTTGTCGCATAGATCGTCTATTCGGATAATATCTGTGCCAAGCCAGTGAGTAGGACAGTTCAAAAGTATTCACGGCGGATAACGTGCAAATCTTACGATTCTTACCTGACGATACGGGTTGGACAGTCTGATATCCGAATACTGTCGATTGTGACAGGGCACTTTCTGTTATCATATTTATAGCACATCATATCGGAGCGATGCGTTTAAGTTGAGGGACACCGAGAGTTGGGGAAATCTGTTGTACCCCAAAACACCTGAGGGTACCCGGGAATCGTTAATACCGGGAGGTAAAATCCAGTAAGGTCTGACTGTGCTGGAAGCAGCTGGGCTAGTTGAGAAACGCTCATTAGTGGTTTAGGAGAAAAGCACTTGTGAGCCCGGATCCTGGGTACGCAATGGTTCGATTAGCACATTTACAAAGAAAAGAACCGACGAAGTCACCAGGAACGTGTCGAAAATAGCATCAGAGTGCATCGAGGTTGGGGGAACGGAAAGTAGTAGTAGTCTTGTCAACCGTAGTTGGTGTGTCCGTTTCGGAGCAGGTCCATGTTGCTGGTATTTCAATATGCGCTATATTTGGGTGCTCTTAATTGAATGTTCCTGACTTCCGGTGCCTACATTCACCGAGTGCTCACCCAAGACAGCACAGATGGTTCTGCCTTCAATATGCTTGTTGTTCTCTTAGACCTCGTCCCACTTCTCCCAGAACCATCAGCCACATATGCAGCAAGCTTTGGCGCCAGATAAGAGCATCCTTTTGTGTCAAAGTTGACGCCGACGCAATCACTACGCAAGTCACCATTTCTCCCTCGCGTCCTCCAATCGCCGATATAGTATTTCAGCGCGCTATTGACGTCTGACTATTTTTTTTGAAAGGTCAGGCAGATTCTCGATGTGAATGGCAGTGCTGTGTAGAATGATGCCGAAAGACTTGAACCGCTGCATGTCCTGCCACTGTACAGTCAACAAGAGTTGTTTGAATGAGGAATCGTTGGCTTTGGTTGCACACGCGCATGATATCTCTCATTCAGCAACTGATGCGCAAGTGAAGCTTTACAGATGGTGGATGGGAGGTTCATGATTGGTTACGCGATAGAATACTGCTTTAAGTCGATAAAGATATCATAACAAGATCGACGATAACTGAAGGATTCGTGAGACATTCAAAAACCCGCTAGCAGCAGACACAGGACTTTCCGCCTCCATGTTCACCAGGGTCTGTATGTACTGCTACTGCTTTCTGGTGCGGTTGCTGTTGCTGTTGCTGTTGCGTATTAGGGTCTGGTTCGATAGTATCGAAATATTCATCAGGTACGATGTCCGGGTCTGGGCCAGGAGCACCCGCAGCAATATTACGCTGTGAATCTTCGCATCAGAAAACCGGGATACGCTGATAAGAATCGACCTGATCCACCTCTTTAGCCTTCCTGAATGAAACATCGACAACGGGCGGCGTTGCATGATGGGGTGACCAGGAGAATAGGTGTCGTAAATGAGTTTTGATGGTGGTGGTGACAGCGACTGGTGGTGAGGTGGTGGGTGGTGCAGTTGCAGTTGCAGGTGCAGGAGCTGCCTCAGGCCTCCTCGTCATAGCGAGCCCAAGTCTTTTGAGGCGCCCAGGGCGCTGTTGAAGTCTTGGCCTGGAAATCTGAGAATGCTGTAACGAATTAAGAGCGATAGAACAGAAGGATACGCTCTTGCACGCACTTCATGCATTCCATAGAAAAAATTGGGATCTGCATCATATCCATCGTGATCTTGACCGGGGATCTCTGCCTGCATAATAGTCAGTATCGAAAGAGGTAAGGATAGAGGTACATACGCCAAGAATACGGTCGTTGTCCGCAGCGAGCGTGCTGCATTTCTCCTTGAACTCTGAGTGACGTGCGGGTGAGCATGATAGTTGTCGGTGACACGACGGAAGACTTGCCGTTGGACCACTCGAGACAGCTGGCCTTCGTAATGTCGTCAATGGCGTTCATCATGTATTTGTGTGCTTCGAGGGCCTCGTCGACTTTACCTGCCGAAAGGAGTGCCTGACACCGTTTTTGGTGTGTAGTTAGCAACAAGGACTCGAGATCCCAGCCGAAGAGCTGGACAAAGCACTAGGTTATGGAAAGTATCATGTGTGCATCATCTTGACACACCATAGTCAAGTCCTCGTAGATTTGAGGCATGAATTTTGATGAGAATGCGCCTGAATCGACAGCGGTGGTGAAGTGATCAGCAGCTTCGTCGTGACGCGCGCCATCGAAAGCTTTGATTCCGAGCTGAACACGCAGATATGTCTATTGTGCGAGTTGAAAAGATCAGTATTGATGATCGAGTGTGGACACATGACACTCACTTCCACGACACGATATGCGAGAGGATCAACATTGGGACAAGCGGCAGCCAGGTCTTTGATGAGCAGCATTGCTTCCTCGTGTTGATCTGCGTTAAAGAGTGCGATGGCCTGGAATACCAGATGAAGCAGATAGCATGGGAGATGAATTGAATGTACCCTGATCAGGAGAAGAAATTGGTTGGTTTGTGAATTTTGGTTGGTAAACATGGATGCGACATTGAATGCTATCCTTGCTTCCTGGACGTGGCCTTTTCCGCAGAGGGCGATGCCTTTAGTGATGAAGCCTACCAATGATGGCCGAATGTTGACGGACTACGTTACGGATGAAAATTAGCCTTTCGTAAAAGGGCCATGATGCAATGGGTCGGTCCATCTCACCTCGATTCCATCATCAAGAGCATGGTCCCAGTCGTGCTTCCGAGCCATGACGAATGAACGATTGGCATATAAAATAAAGTCGTCGACGTTGGTGTGGACATCTTGGGTGAGGAGCTCTTCAGCAATAGACAAGTCCCCAGTTAGACATGCATCACGGGCTGTTGTGATGTCAAGGATCTGCACGAAGGATGCTCGAATTGCGTAATGAGAGTCAGAAATGGAAACTCGCCTTTGAATGAGCGTCCTTTGGTATTGCCCACTCTGAGATCTTTTTATCAGAACCTCCGCTGAGGATGTGCTTGCCGTCCACAGAGAACGTGACACAATTCGTACGGAATGAATGCTGGAAGACGGCGATGGTTCGTTGATCTGAGAGCCGCCAGAGATGGACATGCTTGTCTTGAGTTGCAGAAGCGACGAGGGTGCCAGCGGGATGAATGGCAATGTCATTGATCTGATCAGTATGGCCTTTACAGCGATGACCAACCTGCTGCCGGGTTGATGTGTCCCACTCAAATATGGAATTTCTGCCTCCTGAAAGAAGGCGTGTACCATCGGGCGTCCATGCAAGTGACAGGCTCCAACCTGTCAAAGATGCGACTTGTTCCCTTGTGCCTGGATTATAAATTTGGATACCTGAGCCTGTTGCGATGGCAAGAAGTTCACCAGAAGGCGAATATCGAACGCAGTAGACCAAACTGCCACACTCGATTGGATCTCCTTGCATCTGCCACGTTTTGGTACTCCAAAACTTGACCGTGTAGTCCCATGAACCAGTGGCCAGCACCATTTCATCCGGTGAAAAATCCACCGAGTTGATCCAATTGGAGTGGGCTTTGATGGGTTGGGTGATGGATTCGCCAGTTTCTCCATGCCAGGCGATGACTTCTCCAGCAATATCACCGCTTGCTATTATTTGACCATTTCGTGACACCGCCAATGCCTGCACCTTAATACTATGCCCTTCCATCTTCTTCAACACAACACCTGTCTCCAAGTCCCAAAGATGAAGTGTCTTGTCCGCCGAGCCCGTAATCATTCGTCGTTTATCGGGAAACACTGCGACTGCCCTTACTTCGTCCTCATGATCTTCAAAAGTTCGAATGGGTGCGGTGCTTGGAATGAGCTGTGATATTTTACTGGAAATTGATGGTGTTGACCGAAGCATTGTGGGTGTCTTTCTCTAAGTTACGGAAGTGCATGTATTGTGCGTTTCTATGTCGCTTCACCACGCTAACCATCCTCGCTTCCATAGACGCCCAAGACACGAGGCAGTTCGCCATCATCGTCTGCTCCCAACCAGTCATAACCGACTGCACATGCGTCCGATATCTGTCTTCACAGTTTCAAGCCCTACCGAGACATCAAGCGAGTAGCACACCTCTCCAACAAACTTTCGAGCTCGAGTCTTATGTCTCATAACTGCTCACCTTACAGCTCGCTGTAGACTAGCATAAAATATCTGCATGTCTTGGTGCGTCTTGATTGTTGATCCCCCGTCAGGAAGGGAACGTTTCCAGTATTGTGCACCAAGATTAAGCTTGCTTTCGCCTGCAGTGGATTCGAGCTGGAGAACGACCATCATGTGCATCATAAATACATAACATTGTAGCGAATTATTTGTGAAGCGCAAATTAGTCTCGATTCTAGCATTCCAATCAGCATCAGTGGTCGTTCGCACCCGGCCACCCCCATCTAATGAGCCGAGTCACTCCGTCATGCCACGACTGTATCCTACGACTACATAGCTAGTGTGGACATCCTCGAACCACGAGTGCCAACGAAGCCAGTTCCATTCCACCGAATGATGGCATGGATGAACACCGGATGCCCGATAGCAGCCACAACTTAAGTAAGAATGCTAATCGGCTCACGATTTTCCATAGATCTCCTCTGTCCCTTCCGCCGCATAATCTACCCACGTCCGCCCCAACCGCCCCAACATCTGACCACACTACGGGTCCCTTTCATCGCTCGTCATGATAACATGCGTGGCCTCAATCCCTTTTCGTATGCGAAGTTCTTTTTGTACCTCAGACACCCTGCGCGCAATAACAGACAACAGGGCGAAGCACTGATCCACAGGAAACTCCTCGCATTGCTGGCTGAAGTCGCCGTGCCATATGTGGATCGATATATACTATTAAAAGTCAGATCTGTAGAGCAACCTATGCCCGAAACTTTCACTCACGTGAGTTGGTTCATTCATGGCGCGTCAGGCATGCGCATCGGCAATCTTTTCCATGCTCGCAGTCCACCGCATGCGTTGGCCTACAAATCTCCATGCAAGAGAATCGTCTATTTCCCATTCCCATGTATGATGAGCGCTTATGTAGTAAAGGGAATCGAAGCATAATACGTGATCGTCCGGAGGAAGGGAAACCTAGTGCTGGGGAGAAGGACGATTCGTTAATAATGATTCCAGGCTTTTCGAGCGAGTTTCTGCAAACCCAAGCGATGCGAGAGATCAAAAGGATGCATGATTGTGATGTATGCTAGGAGATGTCAGCTCGACCCAAGCTGGGGTTCGCGTCCACGAGACATCCATGATGGTCACGCACTTAATCACCGAAGAGGAATGTCCAAAGTCGTCTCACCGAGCTTGAGCAGGTTCAGGAATCTCGATGTGTTGTTGAACGGTTTCCCAAACAGTATAACAACCAAGATCATCGATAACCTGACCTTCTGGATCCTTGACTTCGTGCCAATGAAGCAAGAGGATCCCTATGGCTTGATCGAGTCGAGGGATGTCAAATACTTTCCCGAAAACAAATAGAGGTGCGCTTGGGTCGATATGGTTGAAGAGGAACTTTGGGATTATGGGCATACATTCTGTTATGAGAGCGAGGTATATCAAATTGCCCTAGTTCTTGTGAGGAGCCGTGACAACATTGGAAGTGGTTCGTTGACTTACATAGGTTATTACGTCGTTCGCTAACAAATACTAACTGTGATCAGTTATTCAAGTGGTGTTTGGTAGGAGTTGACGTATATGATCTAGCTAGTTCTTGATACCTTTGTCTGGAATCTGGTGCATGAGGTCATGGGCGTCTTATCGGACGAATCCATGTTCATTTTGCTAGGACTTGTTTGATAAAAGTATTTTTGCAAGCCAAGTCGGGCGATGACGGGAACCTAACGATGCTTCAACTCGTCCTTGTCTTGCACTGCACTTTCCAGCACCCAGTAATGGGCATGAAACGTGCTTTCATCTTGTCCAGATCCAACAAGGAATGTCCTCTTCGATGTGCCTAGCATACCCACCTGGTTTTCACGTGCGGATAAAATGGGGACATGGATGCAACGGACTCCGAGCGTTCGGGTGCGCCGAACGTTCATTTGGATGGGTAAGCTTGCGCACCGTGCTTTGCCACATTTCACTCTGAGAAAAGTCAGAGCTAAGAGAGTGAGTGATAGAGAAGGAAGATGGGACAACACCAGAGATGAGCACATGGAGGATAATGTGAGTGGGGAGTACCTGGCTGCAGGGACTGCTTGGGTGTCGAGCGTAGCATGATTATGCCAGGCGTCCTGTTTACGTTTAAGATAGCCGCAAGTTATAATCATCAGTGCTTTCATTAGTGTCCACTGTCACATAGCCAATTCTGCTCGAATAATTATATTTTGACTTTCATGTGAATTGAAAGCCCAGAGTGGAATTTGCAGATGGCACGAAGTACGGCTTAATGATTGGAGATGTCGGCAAGGGCGTTTGCTGGAAGACAAGGTTTGATATGTGGTATGTTTGGAGGATGTAGGGGGGAGGCGGAGAATTATTGTTAGGTCCATTACATGATGAATAGGCCAGGAGTATAATCACTAGTGAAAGAGCAGGGTAGAGAGAGTAGCCATGACGCGCATAACAACTTGGTATGACATAGTAGAGCCTGAGACCGGACGTTCGCATAAGTTTGCAAAACAATAGACAACAATGGCATTTCAGCCAACGCTCCAGCCTGCCAGAGCGGGTCAGCCTTCAATTCTTTTTCTGATAGATTTTCTGACAGATCTTGTGTCCAGAGGTTATTGACCACCAGCATCTGTGGCTCGCCCCTCATATCCAACCGAATATCTTTTGTAGGTAATCGGGTGAGTCACGCACATTTCCTACTTCCAAGTCCTTTCAAGAGTTGGAGCAGAGATAAAATACACGATCAGAGCTATCGAACCTAGCAACATTGTATGTTTGTTCTGGCTGCAACCTGTCCAGGATATTAACAGCACTAGTGAATGTTCGATATTACCAGCTCTGAGCGCCAATGATCACCAATCATGCCGAAATGAGCGTCTCGCCCACCAGACTGTTAAAGGTTAGGTTCTATCCTGTGGGGTCAGAGCCACCACGTGCTGCACTAGCTTGTGGATTTCTCATAATGGATACTAGTGGAGAAGCATGCGCTACTTCGGAACACAACACAGATGGTTTTGCCTTAAAAGATACTCGTTCTCTTGGACCTCATCCCACTTCTCCCAGGACCATCAGCTACATATGCAGCACGCTTTGGCGCCAGATAAGAGCATGCTTCTGTGTCAAAATTGACACCAACACAGTGACCACGCAAGTCCGAGTCATATACTTCCGGTCACCATTTCCCCCTCGTTTCCTGCAGTCGCTGATCTAGTATTTCAGCGCACTGTTGAGAATCAAGAATTGTCTAGTAAGCTCATCCCTCGAGATGAGCGTCTCGGCAGATTTCAAACGCCTGTCTCAGGGATTTGATTCTGTGGCACCTTGTATCCGGCTCAACCAGTCACAAGGTTTTGGCGTCCGATAAGAATGTGGATTTAGTCACCACAGGTCATTCACAACACGTAAGGGTTTGGCTTGCTCGGTCTGTGTGTAGAAGGTTCACTCGCAAATTGTATATAACCGTTGGCAGTAGCGCCGAAACTGTTCATTTCCTCCACTCTTCTCTCTCTCTTTCCACCTCTAACTCTACTACAGCAGGAGGCATGCACAGCACGCCCCCACGATCTAGTCCTGTACCTGCAGATACCAACCTCCCGAATAACGAGTAAGTGGCAAGTTAGACTGAGCTGACCATAAATTTATGGACACACAGGAATACAATTGATGTGAACGCAGTGACTGAGAAACCTGCCACGTCTATCAAGGTCGACCATAATAAAAACGTGTAAGTGTCCAACAATTAGCATGGTATACTCGACATCTGACTCTGTTATCTCAAAGGTCAAGCACCCTGGAGCAGATCCAGGATCAAATGATGCCAGATAACACCAGCGAGGAATGTGTGGTGTCCAGGAATATGTAAATGTCAACTAACCAGTAAAGCAAACTTGACATCTAACTATATTGTCTCAAAGGTCAAACTCCCCACAGCAGGCCCCGGACAATGGGATCGAGTCGGATAACGCAAAGGAAAGTTCTGTGGTGTGCATCGAAGGAAATCTTGCTAAGAATATGTGAGTGTCAACTCATCAGCGCCATGCACTTGACGTCTGACTATATTTTATCAAAGGTCAGATACGCTGGAGCACATTCTCGAAGTCCTTCGAGAATCTACGATCACAGGAGAACATGGCAAAGATGATAAGTCAAAGTTCTGGGCAAAATACAAGAAAATTTCGAATGAATATGATGATGACTTCCTCAACCGGGCGCAAGGCGATATATTTGTGATCTTGACTTTTGTGCATTCGTTTCTATATTAATCAACGCAAATCTCATGGGAAAATCAGGCTGGTCTGCTCTCAACTGTCATCGCTACTTTCGTCATCGGAATGCAGCCCGACCCGGCAGACACTACCAATGCCCTCTTGGTGCAGCTCATAGCAATCACTGTTAACGGGTCAAGTGCTGCACATGATATCAGCGATCTTTCCTCGTCTACGGGATATTCCTCTTCAACTGTCTGGATACAAACTCTTGCCTATATGAGCCTAGCGCTTAGCATCATCGCTGCGTTTGGGGCCATCTTAGGAAAGCAATGTCTCAATTCGTACGAGGCAGCTCGGGAAAAAGGAGGAACTTTAGAAGAGAGTGGGATGCGGAGGCAGATGAAACTGGATGGGCTAGTTCGTTTTCAGCTGCGCCCTTTGTTGCAGGTATTCCTTGTACTCCTCCAGGTTGCACTTGTGCTCTTCAGCATCTCGCTATGCCTCAAAACGTGGGCCGACCACGTGCCAACATTCGGTTTTATGACAGCCAGTGCAATTTCTGTTGCTCTCTCCTATGCAGGCACCATCTTTATGTCAGTGTGGTGGCCCGATAGTCCTTTCCAGACACCAGGGACAGATACAATTCGGGCCCTCTGCAAGAAAATTCTTCCAAAAAGAAATTTATCTCCTTCTTCATTTGCCATATCGTCGGCTATACGCTGGATACTGGAGACATCGACAGACCCGTCCATTGTCGAGGCTGCGGTTGCAATGACACCTTTCATGCAGTGGTCGCCGAACCTTGATGCTTCAGCAACCTTTGCACGTTTATACAATATTTTCGTGTCATATCAGGACAGGGAAGAGCTATATGTGAAGTGTGGCAAAGCCATAGCCCATATTTGCATCCAACGGGTGAAAATCGACGAGGCGCTTCTAAAGCGTTCTTGGAATGGTGAATTTCAGGGAAACCAAAGTCATTTCATTCGCAATGTGTTCATGGCTGGACGGGCTGCCTACGAACAGCTCAAGAATCCAGATAAAAAAGATGATGAAAAGAAGCATCGAGCCGATGCACGCACTGCTCTGAGGACAATGCTTGTTCACGGAATGCGTTGTGAATTTTCATGTCCGGACGATGAAGCCTTGATATGGGGGGGCGATCTGCGCTGGTGTCACAGCGATGGGAGTGAGCCCAGCTGTGGAGAATTTGATTGGCTCGTCGATTACCTGGAGGGAAATGCAAATACAGACGATGAAACAGAAGGTGACGCTTTGCTTGCACTGAGCGCCATGCGTGGAATAGGGAGCTCTACCAAGCATCTGTCCTACATCAGCTCCCTTATCCGCTGTATAGGCCCAACCAGACCTTCCCGAGTCCAGCATGCGGCGCTTAGAGCTGTTTTTGAGGTTCGAGAGAAACTAGCTTCTATGACAAATGCTTCGATGCCAGATGGTGTCTCCGCACAACTCCTGAATGAGCTTTCCCGCGCTCTCTTAACTGCTGTACGTCCACATGGCGACAGGACAATCCACACCACCGGACCCGACACCTCTTTCAGCGAAGGTCGAGACAAATGCTACCTCCACCTCCTCTATGTCCTGACAATGAATGACGAGTGGTGTCAATGTCTGACCCGTGACGGCCATCTCGAGCGGTGCATTTCTCTAGTTGACGGTCTCTCTCGTAAACATTATCCGGCAGCCACATTCTACCTCCTTGTAATCTTGGGGCGCATGAAGTCCTCGGGCAAGGATCTTCCTGTCAGAGATGTCGAGAGATTGAAGCCGCTCATCAAACCTGCATGGGAATATCTCACAGAAGGAGACGACCACGTCGATGGTATACCAGCCTTGGTGATAATGACGAAGCTGACTTTCCTACCCTTGGAGATGATGAGGCTGAATTCGACGATGACGACGATCCTGGCTTTGCCAGCCATCTGGCAAGGAATGTTTGCAGCCTTGTATAATAGTGTGGAGTGGTTCGTAGGTCTCAGTCCAAAAGTACAGGAAGTTTTGGTCAAATTGCAGAGGAGACAAGCGATCCTTGTGAATGATGGTGTCACTCAGGCTGCCGTGGACGCTGTGCAAAGCTTGTACGACGATCTGTGTCGTGTGACTGAGCACCAGAATCCCCTGGAAAGGGACGGTGGAACTTCGGGGCACTGAAGGATAGTGTAAGCCTACGGCTTACTACGTATGACGTCGTCACCTCTTGATTGGACACCACCGTTTGTTGTTCGATGCTCCGCCTAGTATATAGAGCTCATCGCCCCTTTACCTGTAACTTAGCTCTTACCACCGCTACCGAATCCCATACGCTCTTCCACGTTATCCATTGCCTGACCGTCCTGTAGTGTTGACTGTCTACTGTGACAGCCTTCCACTTTTTTTTAACGTTCAAGCTGAGCGTTATCATCTTACCGTTACTGTTCTCGCCGTTACATAAACAAAAAGAACTGCGCCGTCGGGTATTGACCTTGTTTGGTCAGCCCGCCATTACCTAACTTAAACTGCCTCCTCGCCGTGCACGCATACCTGTACCTTCGTCGCCTCTGATGACAAGGAGTCGCGCCAGACTCAGAACAACGACAGGAAACTCGGTGAACAATCCACCGGAATTACTGTCGTCGCCGATCACCTTTCCAAACCTGTCCTCACCTAGTAGGTCCAACCTATCCTCTGTGGGCAGTTGGGTGGTTCTCCCGCACGCGCCTACCACCGCGCATACATCCACTGATTCTGATTCAAGTGACTCTAGCTCAGACTCACCTATCAAACCTAAGATGTCTTCATTGTCTAAAACCGCACGTGTTGAACAATCTTCAGCAAGCAAACTGCCTTTCTTAACCCTGGGGGAAGTAACACCTGAAGCGCTTCGATCATGAGAAATGGGGTGCACCCAATTCTTCATGCACAAGGGTGTCCCTGAAGCAGACATGGTCAAGAAGATCGCGTGGGGTATGCAAGACCCACAGATTCAAGACTGGTACCTGACAAACCAGGAAGAAATCGACGCGATGTCGTTCAAAGAATACATGGTTGAAGTTCGCAATGTTTGGCTTCCAACTGGTTGGGCGGACACCTTGAGGCGCAAGATGTTAGCTTCAACCCAAGGTCAACGACCGTTCAATGAATGGGCCATTGATGTACAGAGTCAGAATATGCTCTTGTGTGGAACTGCGTCTCATCTTCAGGATGTCAACATCCTCTATCACCTGGAATCGCACATGAACACTGAACTTGCTGCAGACTACCACGCGGAAAGTGTTGATGAAGACGACTTGCGAAAATGGATTGAAAAAGTACGGATCCTTGATGAGAAGTGTCTGCGCTACCTGAGTAGACAGAAAGAGGCAGTGGAAATTGCCTTACATGCTGAACATGCTCGTTCACATGGCGACAAGAAACCAAGCTCGAATGCTCGTTACAACGCCAACACTAGTAACACATCAAAAGGCACCTCGGGATTGTCTAAGACCTTCACTCGTTTGCCTAGCCTCACTGAAACAGAACGTCAGCTGTTGCACGACAACAATGGATGTTTCAAGTGTCACGAGCCATTCGTGGGCCATACTTCTGCAAATTGCACCAAAGGCTTCCTGGATGGCGCCACATACAAGACCCTCACGTCTGCTTCTGTCGCCGCTAAGAGGGTTAGGAAGGGTAAAGATGTTGTCGCCTCAGTGGACGTCGAAGAGACTGTTGACACAGTCGCAGTCGTTATGCCGTCCGCTGTGCTAGGAAATGGCACCAATTTGGGCGAAGAATACGTGGCTCCGCTACAAACCCCCCATCTTCGTTGGGACTGTCTTGTGGATGGACCCGGTGTCTCTTCTCCTATTAAAGTGTCTATGCTTATTGATCATGGCTCTTCTTTAGTTCTGATTGGTGAAGAACTTGCTGATAAACTGGGACTACGTCGTCGACAACTCGCAAAGCCGCTGCCCATTTCACTCGCACTGTCCAAAGACAAGGACTCATTTCTCCTATCGCAATACATTAAGCTCTCTTGTACTTCCCTGGACCAAGTCTATACGTCACAAACTGTACGCGCAATAGTCGCGCCGAACCTCTGTACTCCTTTGTTACTGGGAGGCCCGTTTTTGCAGCATAATCGAATCGTCATTGATCATGAACTACGTACGTGCGTCGCTAAGGACTCTAACTATGACCTTCTACAGCCACAAAACACTCCAAAGGCTCCTCCAATGTCATGAAAACCTACTTGGGGACCGGAACTTTTCTGGTTAAAAAGGAATGTAGTGAAGGAGCTGAAGTTGGTCCTACCTGAATGGAAGACGATCGTGGACAAGGAATGTGAACGCGTCAAAGACATCGATGTTGTCGCCACAATACAGGCGCGTATCGATGGACTTGCATATCAAAAAGACTTGAAGACGTTGGATGCCAAGTACAAAGAGAAGTTCAACGACTGTTTCCCTGCGGATATTCCGCATAATGACACTATGCAAGTGATGTTCTCTTTCGCGTAAGTTTGAAGGATGCTAACAAGGTAGTTCAACAACGGTCGTACAACTGCCCAAGAAATACCGCGCTGCCTGGAAGACCTTGTTAGATTCGCATGTGGACAGCGGCCAAATGAGGCCCTCAGAAAGTGAATGGTCCTCACCGGCTTTCATTATCCCAAAACCGGACCCCACAGTGTTACCACGTTGGGTGAACAATTTCAGGAAATTGAACATGAATATGGTGGCAGATAACCATCCACTACCACAGATCAATGAGATCTTAAAAGACTGTGCTAATGGGAAGTTTTTCGGAAAAATTGACATGACTAACACATTCTTCCAGACGTGAGTTCATCCGGATGACATGAAGTACCTCGCGATCCACACTCCGTGGGGTAAATACGAATGGACTGTGATGCCCATGGGTGTGCGCAACGCACTGGCAGTGCATCAACACCGGATGACAGGAGCGTTGCGACACCTAATCGGCAAGATTTGCCACATATACCTGGATGACATTATAATCTGGTCTCAGTCCATTGAGGAACACGAGGCTAACGTCTGTCAGGTGCTCGAGGCGCTACGTGCGGCGCATCTCTACTGTTCGACGAGGAAGACTTCGTTATTCAACACGGAGATAGATTTCCTTGGCCATCACATATCGGCTCATGGTATTGAGGCAGACAGATCAAAAGTGGCCAAGATTGTGGATTGGCCGAGACCTCAGAAGGCAAAACACGTGTGATCCTTTCTGGGCATGGTTCGTTATCTTGCGGATCATCTACCTGATGTAGCGCAGCACACGCGAGTTCTAACGGGACTTACGACAAAGGGTGCGGAACTCAGTTTCCCACAGTGGACAGAAGCCCATCAAACGGCGTTCACAGCTATCAAGGAACTCGTGGTTAGCCCACAATGTCTTATGACAATTGACCACAACAATCCAGGAGAGAATAGGATATTCTTGACATGCAATGCATCCGACTACACTACGGGCGCCATGCTGTCATGGGGACTGACTCGTGAGTCCGTGCGCCCGGTTGCATTCGACTCGGCCCAACTTAGGACAGCGGAACTCAATTACCCTGTGCACGAGAAAGAGTTGTTAGCCATTGTACGGGCACTTAAGAAGTGGCATTTGGATCTTCTGGGTGCGCACATTGATGTGTACACTGATCACAGGACTCTACAGAATTTCACGACCCAATGTGACCTGTCAAGACGACAAGCACATTGGGCCGAATACATGTCGCAATACAACATCGACATCCATTATATTAAGGGAGAAGATAATGTTGCAGTGGATGCATTGTCAAGAAGGACCGACTCGATGTCAGAAGAATGTTTGTGCGCTGCAGTACTTACTATTCAAACAGATCCTGGCTTGCTGGAACGCATCACTGAAGGCTACAAGATCGATCCCTGGTGTCAATGTTTGGATGGCCTCCTGGGCTCTCTGCCTGGGCTACGGAAAGACGACAAGGGTTTGTTCTACATTGTGGATCGTTTGGTGATCCCACGAGTGGACAATCTGCACGAGCACTTGTTTCACGCTGCTCATGATGCCGCTGGGCATTTCGGTGCTGACAAGTCTTATGCTTTGTTGCGTGGTTCGTATTACTGGCCAAATATGCGGAAGGTGTCGAGCGCCGAGAGATCCGAGTCGTCGAGCACTGAAAGATCCGAGATAGTGACGTGGGGAGAGTGAGAGGTACGAGCGCATGCCATTTTGGACGTAGACGGGCAACAAGTGATGTCGGCTCGTGTCCTACAATATATGTTCAATCTTTTCTTCAATATTCACGTATCCAAGCTACTCACCTTTAAAAGAAACCTTTGTAGCATATGAACATCTCAGTTCTTCTACGAGAGACTGAGATGTGAGTAGATCTCCGCACCTGGCTATTACAATGTTCTAACGTCTTCTAGTTACCTTTTGTCTTAGGTACATACACCGTTAATAAGAGTTCTTCTACGAGAGACTGAGATTTACCTTTTGTCTTAGTGATCGCACGTCTCCCGCTCGAAAGTCATCTCTTCAGAAGGACCTTTGCGAATTGTACTTACCGTCGTGTGCTGAATGCATGCGCAACAAATCCAAAACTATGGCTACGGCGGGCCCGCTACACCCACTTCCAATCCCAGATTCACGTGGCGACTCCGTCACGATCGATTTCATTGGCCCATTGCCAGAGGATAACGGTTACAACATGCTGGTTTCCATGACTGACTGTTTGAATGCGGACGTGTGTCTGGTGCCCTGCAAGGACAATATCAGCGCAGAACATTTCGTGACCTTGTTCTTCGATCATTGGTACTGTGAGAATGGATTGCCGATGGAAATCGTGTCGGATCGGGATAAGATTTTTCTGTCAAAGTTGTGGTGTGTGTTACACAAGCTGACTGGAATTAAGTTAAAGATGTCATCGTCATACCATCCCGAGACGGGTGGAGCAAGTGAACGTACAAACAAGACCGTTAATCAATGCTTGCGGTACTACGTTGACAGAAACCGTAGAGGTTGGGTCTGTGCGTTTCCCTGGGTGCATTTTCATATCATGAATACGGTGAACGCCAGCACTGGCTTTTCGCCTTTTCAGCTGCATGTGGGATGCTCGCCACGAATGTTGCCATCCATCGTTGGGAAGGATGACTCAGGTTCAAACGAGGCTGAAGAACAACATGCAACATTGTTGCTTTCACAGCTCAAACATGACGTGATGGAGGCTCAGGATAACTTACTCGCAGCCAAGGCCGCTCAAGCTTCACAGGTCAACAAGAATTGCGCGCCCACTATCATCTTCAAGACAGGAGACCGCATATTGCTTGCTACCAAGCACCGTCGACGGGAGTATATGCAAAAGGGAGACAAGAGGGTAGCAAAGTTCATGCCTAGATATGACGGCCCCTACATCATAACCAACGCGCATCACGAGAGTTCAACGTTGTAGAAACAACAATACAACGAGGAACAAAAGAGGCTCCTAGCTGTATCTATAAATGTTGTGAGGTCGCGCGTTGCCTAGTCTGCTATTCTTGAGACGACAAGTGCGTTCGACCCTAGGGGAAGCGAGTGCAGCAAGGATCTAGAAGTGTGCGCTGAAGCGAAGCGCGAGAAAGTGCAGGTGCGCGCAAGGCGCAGGAACACATGCGCATATTAGCGCGAAGCACGGGAAAGCGCGCGCGCGTATGCAGAAATAATAGAGAAATTAGACTCAAGTGCTAATATGATGCAATATAAGAGAAGAGAGATGCGAAGTGTAGACAAATAGACTTCTACTATGTTCTGCTAAGTAAAATGGTGGGTGGTAACTAGTAAGTTAAAGGGAAAGTAAGTGAAAAGTAAGTGGAAAAACTTTCCTCGTAGTATGTACTGCTGGCGCTTATATAGCGCACCTAAGTGCAGTCATGCGGAGCCGAAGCGCTACCGAGTAGGTATGTAAAGATATATATAAGTAAGGGTCCATTATAAAAATAGAGGTGGAATGATATGCTAATAAAAGAAATGGAAATATATGCACTAGAGGGCTTGGTGGACAGTGGATGGATGCTTCTGGATGGCTGGTGCTATAGGGTGCTCAAGCGCGGGAAAGCTGCGCCTTGTATAGGGATAGCTGTGGGTAGCGCACAGAGTGACACTACAAGTTTGTGCTATGCACTCCTTGGTGGAAACTGCCATGTCATGCCATGAGAGGCATGAGTCTCTACAATGTACACACTGGATCTTCCCAACTCGCCAAATATCTTTCCAACTTTTCATGTCAGTCAGCTATGTCCCTATTGCGCTAATGACATTGAATTGTTTCCATCTCGCGAACACCCACGTCTGGGTCCGGTTGTGACAAACGACGGACAACTTGAGAACCTCATCGACAAGATAGTTGATGAGCGAAGAGTTGGTAGAGGAAAGAGGTACCTTGTCCATTGGTTCGGGTTTGGCGAGGAAGACGACGAGTGGCTGCCTCGGCGCGATCTGGAAGACTGTGAGGCTCTGGATATTTGGGAGAGGGAGAAGTCAAAAGGATAGTGGGGAAGGGTGTAAGCCTACGGCTTACTATGTATGACGTCGTCACCTCTTGATTGGACACCGCTGTTTGTTGTTCGATGTTTGCTCCACCTAGTATATAGAGCTCATCGCCCCTTTACCTGTAACTTAGCTCTTACCACCGCTACCGAATCCCATACGCTCTTCCATGTTATCCATTGCCTGACCGTCCTGTAGTGTTGACTGTCTACTGTGACAGCCTTCCAGATAGCATCAGTATATATTTCCATCATTCCTATGACTATCTCTACTCAAATAGTCAGACAGACTCTCAAGACAGCCCATCTTAAAGCTATAATCAAGAAAAACAGATTCCTCTGTCTCCAACCTATAAAAATAAAAGACAAGATGCTACTTTCAAGTACAAATATCGGACTGCTAATAGCTGAAAGAGGTTTATCTAGTTATATAAGGTTAAAATCAATAGGATGAAATCATATGGCAAGGAATTTATATTAAAATAGATAGGACAATCATTAAGATAAAGAAAAGTTAAATAAACACCTTAAGTTTCAAGACAAAACTTGATGGTATAGGACTATATGAGATAAAATGGAGTGGGAATCTTCTATGAAGCAAAGGGGAGGATGAATACAGAGTAGTAAATACTCATTTGACAGGAGTGTCTGCTAAGAAGCATGCAGAAGTTATGAGTTAATGAAGAAGATACTGTTTTGTGATAAGACAATGACCCTAAGTATACCTCTAAATAAGCCACCAATAGCTTGCAAACCATGATATTACTATTCTATCATGTTCAACATAGACCCAAGACATCAACCATATTGAATACCCCTGAGAATCACTTAAGAAATTACTTGTAGCATATCAAGATTCACTGTAGGGGCTATTCCAACTATGAGACAGTGTTACAGCAGAGTATGATGGAATCACTAAAGAGAAATACCCAAAATTGATAGAGAATATGTTTAGAAGAGTGGCAGAAGTGATTGGAGCAGAAGGAGGTCACACACAGTACTAGAATTATAGAGATTACATTAGTAAAACTCAAAGTCAAAAAAGTGTCCCAATGAGTCATCAAATTAAAATACTCATATCTTCACATAATGTCATTAGTTTCCCACGGTATAGGGAACCAAAATGAAGCTGAGATGCAGACCTTTCCGACATCTCCCTATAGCTTAGTCATATTCCCACGTCTTGACACATGATATAGCAATTACATGAAAAGCTACAAACATTGGGACACTTTTTTGAGCCACTGTATCAACGCCTGGTTCATGAGATGGATGGGATTTACTTATAGAACTACTACAGGAATTTTTTTTGTACTTACCTTCACTGCAATTGTAGTTTTATTTTGTGAAGAAGTCGGCGACTGAGCCCCAGTGAAAATCGACAAGAATGAGGTAGATAGGTAGCAATAGACGTCTAAGTACAGAATGAGATAGATAGAAATCTAAGAAATTCAAGATGGTAAAACTCTAATTTTGTGCAAAATGCAAAGAACCTTTGCAAAGGTAAAAAAGCAAGCATGTCAAACTTTGTTTGCACACTTTGTAATGAACTTTTGACAAACTTTGCATATGCATGCAATATTGCACATGTACATGCATATTGTAGGTGCATAACTTCTTGCATTTGCACATATATTAACTTTATCATATCCAAGTGACTGAGTCGGTGCAGTTGAACCACATGCATCTTCTCCTCTGCCCACCATGTCATTCATCCCCGCTGCGACCCCCGCTCAACACAACCACTCCCTTGTGTTTCTAGCACAACTTGACAACCATGAGCCTGAGATTTCTCTACTTTGCTTGAACTAATCTCGTCCCCTGCGCTTCCCAATAGCATAGTGCCCCGAAAACCTCTTTGTCTTCGTCAAACTAATGTACAGCAGCCTTCTGATCTCTGTACTGCGGGTGCATTCTACAAATTCATTAATATTCTTCAACTACTTATCTTCATCAAGCGCATCGTTGGCACTACACCCAACTGCGAGCCAACCCCTCCACCACGAATGGACAAAGGCAAAGAGAAGGAAGTTGTTGCTGTCGAGGTGAGTCTCTCGTTGTAGTACATGTTGTGCCTGGCACTAATTTCACGCGTCTGATCTTACAGGTTAAAAACCCTCTGTAAGTCATCAATTCTATTGATGCGCTACACTGATGCGATCAATTCATTTAGCTCTAATCTTGTCCTCAAACCTCGGCCCAGACCCATTTCACAGAAACCCCCTCCACCTTCTATTGTTTCCTCAAGTTTAGGATCCAACCCTGCTGTAGTGCCGCCCTCCACCAACATCACGCCAATCTCCAGGCCAGAGATCTCATCGAGTTCCGATTCAGCTTCCCTTGCTGTAAAAATGGAACTCATTGGAGTGACCCATGCTGAACAAACGAAACCCATGATCAACTCAAAGCCTGATGCCATCAAGAAGCAACAGCCGAGTACCAAGCCAATGCGCGTGAGCCCCAAGATCACGGCGCGGTGAGTTCTATATATTATTTTCATAGCAAGATTAACTCTATCATTCTAGGAATCTTTGCGCCCTCGAGTGGCAATCGAACGGCAATCAAAAGGAACCAGCGAGCGTCTTCGCGACTTACTGGAATGGGTTGTCTACTGCCGACAAAGAGGTGCATCATTTTTTTTCTTATGTTAACATCTATTTAATTCTGTCTACAATTGTTCTAGTTATACAAACGCAAAGTATCTGTTCAGGTGAGTTCTGTTGCCTGCATTCTATCACATGTACTGACCAAGTGTCCTATAGGTGGCTTCCTTGGGACTGGTTCAAGTGGACGACAACCACGATGACTAGAGGGCATATGGCGGGATGGCAGGCGGGATGGCAGACGAGGCGCGCAGCAAGCAGCGATACCCTACTCACCTAATGATAGCGATACCTATAGATAATGTCATTTGCTCTCATTAGATTTGTTTTTGGATCAAATCGAGTGATATTTCGTATGTAAATGTGTATCGGTAGGTCTAAACAGATTGAGAATCATATCTAAACGTCTAAATTGTTTCTCGATGTCATTCTTTTTCCATCTCAAAAAGTCTCATTTGTCTAAATACATCGAAATACATCGATAGATTTCATGGGCCTTTATTTTTTAGATATCTATATACGTATATCTACCCGATTCTTGTTGATCTTCACTGGGCTTGAATATTTAATTGCCCTGTTATCAGTCCAATTTCATTTGTCATGGCCTTCAGTGATCGATCGATTAGCACGGGATTATGCAAGCCTGAGATGCAGCTTTGTCACGCCTGATGCAAACAGCGCGTCGAAATATGGTCCGTCCAATTCACACCGAGTCGTGCCCACCATTTTTGTGATGGGTGATGTGATGTCAGATTCTGTGAGTCCTTTGAACTCATAATTTGCCTTGGATCAATGACTCTCCCTTCTTTCATCGCAGTCATCTGAATGCACAAACTCCATGGAATAAATATTGTTATATTACAAAAATTGACTCTGGTGGGGGACGGACCCATATAGATTGACCAGTAATTGAATATCATGGAGGGAGTTTCAGTAGCTGCAACTTCCAATATATGACTAGCCACGTGCACGGTCGAAAACAAAGTTGATGTGCATATGATACTTGTGAGTTGTTGCTCATTTGAAACTCGCGGAGGAAAAGGAATTGAACAATAGTCCAAGATGATGTGATTGAAAGACTAGATGTGTTCAATACATTCTGCCTATGCAAGGTAGGGAGGCAAGTCATAAAGGGAAAATAGTTATCGTACGGAATCGAATAGTAGGTGCAATACTGGCAAGTTAAATGGGGCTCAAGCCCAGTGAAGATCGACAAGAATCGGGTAGATATACGTATATAGATATCTAAAAAATAAAGGCCCATGAAATCTATCGATGTATTTCGATGTATTTAGACAAATGAGACTTTTTGAGATGGAAAAAGAATGACATCGAGAAACAATTTAGACGTTTAGATATGATTCTCAATCTGTTTAGACCTACCGATACACATTTACATACGAAATATCACTCGATTTGATCCAAAAACAAATCTAATGAGAGCAAATGACATTATCTATAGGTATCGCTATCATTAGGTGAGTAGGGTATCGCTGCTTGCTGCGCGCCTCGTCTGCCATCCCGCCTGCCATCCCGCCATATGCCCTCTAGTCATCGTGGTTGTCGTCCACTTGAACCAGTCCCAAGGAAGCCACCTATAGGACACTTGGTCAGTACATGTGATAGAATGCAGGCAACAGAACTCACCTGAACAGATACTTTGCGTTTGTATAACTAGAACAATTGTAGACAGAATTAAATAGATGTTAACATAAGAAAAAAAATGATGCACCTCTTTGTCGGCAGTAGACAACCCATTCCAGTAAGTCGCGAAGACGCTCGCTGGTTCCTTTTGATTGCCGTTCGATTGCCACTCGAGGGCGCAAAGATTCCTAGAATGATAGAGTTAATCTTGCTATGAAAATAATATATAGAACTCACCGCGCCGTGATCTTGGGGCTCACGCGCATTGGCTTGGTACTCGGCTGTTGCTTCTTGATGGCATCAGGCTTCGAGTCAAGCTAGAAACACAAGGGAGTGATTGTGTTGAGCGGGGGTTGCGGCAGGGATGAATGACATGGTGGGCAGAGGAGAAGATGCATGTGGTTCAACTGCACCGACTCGGTCACTCGGATATGATAAAGTTAACATATGTGCAAATGCAAGAAGTTATGCACCTACAATATGCATGTACATGTGCAATATTGCATGCATATGCAAAGTTTGTCAAAAGTTCGTTACAAAGTGTGCAAACAAAGTTTGACATGCTTGCTTTTTTACCTTTGCAAAGGTTCTTTGCATTTTGCACAAAATTAGAGTTTTACCGTCTCGAATTTCTTAGATTTCTATCTATCTCACTCTGTACTTAGACGTCTATTGCTACCTATCTACCTCATTCTTGTCGATTTTCACTGGGACTGAGCACTCGTACCCGTTTTGGCGCCGCCATTCACCCCAAGTGCCGAGTGTTCACTTAGATCCAACCAAGAACTTTTCCATGGTAAATCAATTTGAACCATACATTGAGACTTCCGTTCAGGCATTAGAAATACAGGGTGACTATGGGTACAGAGTAAAAGTGTACAACTATCGCAGCACAATAAACAAACGAAATCTATCACGCTCGTGTGACAGAAGGAGACATCGGAATACTCTGTATGTTCTGCGTCTTCGCCCTCGTAAGCCTGCAGTTCGAGGGATCGTATGAGCGGTTGCATTGCAGCAGCATATGAAGGTCTGCTTACTCGTCAAAATGAGTACCTCTCTTTGGATCGGCTCGTCTCTTGGCTAGTACTTTTCTGACCTTTCTCTCCGGGCGAACGACGATGATGGGTACGGGAGAATTCGAGAGACAATACTTTGACACACTGCCCACACCTGGCGCACCGAACGCCGCACCCCAGGCTTGCATCATGCCGCGCTGGCCTCTCGTGCCCACCACGATCGAGTCTGGGCGGTACAGAGCAATTAACCGCTCAAGGGTTGTAGTGACTTTGCCAGCAATAAGCTCGACGATAATGGAGAGCTACAATGGATACAATGAGAAGGTATGCCGTAACGATAACGGCCGCCTACCTTCCGCTCTGGATCGTACTCAATACATTTCTCCTGAATCTGACGCATGAGTTCACGGGCATCCTCTCGAACGACTTCGTGATCCTTCTCTAATTTATGATTTAACATTTGCATAGGTCCAGGTAGTACGAGCCACCCACCTAAATCCTCTGGGTCGATACCTCTGAATACGATTAACTCATCCCCGTCCTGCACCAAACTCTCCAGCGCCCAGTCAAGGGCGTAACGTCCGCTTTCGTCTGGACTCGATGCACAAAGAAATACCCTCGTCGCCCTGCTCCTAGCGTATCCATCTGATTGCACGTGCAGGGTAAATGAGAACATGGACGCGGCGGGATTTTCGAATGTGTCGAACGACACTTTCGGCGTGTAACCTTGTCCGGCGACGGATTGAGCCGTGTTCTGCTGCATGTTCACTGACGGGGACCGCGAGAGCGACGTCGAAGAGGACGAGAGGGGTGGCAGTCGCGATGTTGACGCCGGTAGTGTGAGGAATGAGGAGGGAAGAGGGGACAGAAGTGGCGACGACGGCATGGAGGATGACGGGTGCAAGCAGGGTGAACCCGGCTGGGAGGATTGTTTTAGTGCCGATCGTAACCATACGACTGGAATATGGGTATGTTGTTCGGACATGGCGGTGTGATAAAGGATTATTTATTAGTTTTGTTGATAAGTTGTTACATAGCCAACATCCCAAAAATAATAATCGCAATATTATTAACTCTCACCTGACTTTGATCTCCAACTCTCATGTCGGCTTCTCGTTCCGCTAGTCCTACGGAGGAGGAAGTTCAAGAGCAGGTTGAGCAGCACACGGAGGTGACGCCCAAGTCCACTGGCGAGTCAACCTCCCCAGAGGAGTCTGCTGAACCTTCGGATACAGACCAGGACGCCACAACAGCTCATGCTTTCCCAACAGCGGGATCGTGGCAAGCCATATGGTCTCCTCAGCACAACGCTTATTATTTCTACAACTCAGAAACCAAAGAAACGACTTGGGTAAACCCTCTTCAACCTGCCGCCTCTGAATCAGAACCTTCCTCGTCCTCGTCCTCCACCTCCCAATCTGGCCCTTCCACAATAATAGACTCTCACTATGCCACACTGCAAGCAAACGCGATGGCGCAGGGTATTGATCCGTCCTTAGCCCATCTTGATCCATCGCTTGCTTCCTCGTCTGGTATTCCTAGCAATCTTATGTACACCGCCAAGTTCAACGCGAGGACTGGTGCTTTTGCGAAGGTGGACAGTCGCGATCCTACTCACTTGTCAGAGTATGAACGTGCTAAGCGCATGAGCGAGTTCTACTTTGACGTTGGTGCTTGGGAGAGCGATGTCGAGGCCCGGAACAGGGCTGAGATTGAGGCCGAGGGAGAAGGCAAGAAGAGAAAACGCCCGACGAAGAAAGATCTGGTAAGATCAGACATGGGTTCCGTTAATTATCAGATGTTGATTTTCATTTTGCAGGAGCGGTTCAAGGAACAGAAGAAATTAAAGAAAATTGCGAAGACAGCATGGCTTCGAACATAGGAACCCTATTACTGTCGTATTAGAAGAAATTCAAAGCAACAATAAATTCCTTAGTTATATATAAAAAGAAAGTTCATCAGCCGGATTGTCAGTGTTCAATAGTACAACCACCTCGAGGTCTACAATGATAGATCACTACTGATAGCTACCATCTGGCGATATCAGCATTAGCGTCCACAGGTATGTCCATTTTTATCACTCATGTTTGATGATGTCCTAAGTTGCGAATACGCCAATGATTTTGAAAGGAGGAACACTTTGTCCTTCGTCTCCAAGTAGCACGCACTCGATGAAGTGCGATCCTCTCGTGACAAATTGATCAATCATCGTAAGACTTGATGACCCATTAATGACCGCACACAAATGAAAATAAAACAAGACACTCACGTCGGCGCCCCCTCACTGACGTGTCCTGCATTTCCTATGATCACCGCACCTCCGAAATTATCATCCACCCAACATTCAAGCTCACTTCCTTCCCCAATCCGGCTCATAGGCTCCTTCAAGTAATAAATCCCGACATCTCCAGCGCCTACTTTGATAGGTACGCGCAATCTGCTCGTAGGCAGCGAGCTATACCAATAATATCCAGCCGTAAGCAACGGAGAGGACCCTGCCGGAGGATGCGCCGCTGCCCAACCGGACCCGTAAAAAAGCGACGGAGGTACAGGGTTCACGAGGTCATTAGCAGACGCACAAAACGGGGCGACCTCCTCGAATGGCAGCGGGTCTTTGAGGCGCGTATTAATTCGCACAGGAGGAATTCGCAGTTCAGGGTATATTGGTACAGGATGGGACTCTGCTTGGGCAAGAGCTAGTGCGTGTTTCTTCTCAGCTTCTGCACCGTCATCTACTGGACGTGGTGGTTCAGGCACCGCAGCACCTTTCCTTGCGCCTACTCCGCCAAAGAGATGCGTATCTGCACCTGGGAGGTAACCATGTGACATCATGATAGGAATGGTTTCGTACGACTGGCCACGCGCCGTTGACCACGCAGCACATATCTGAGATTGGAAGTACGATATGAGAACGTCGGTAATAAGTTCATGACCTGCTGGATTTGCAAGAATGGGGTCCGCAAAGTAAGGCTTTATGAGGTCGGGGTTTGCCATGTAAGACGGATATAGTATAGGTTTGACGCTTTACACAGGCATCAGAAAATATTCTTTTGACAAGTAATGAAATTGTACCTGATATGCGGAACGTCATAGAATTGTGCGACGATATTGTGCCAATGGTCAGGTCCTGCAAATCCATATACTTGATGTGTCTGTGCACTAAAATGCCCTAGAATGACGACTGCAGGTTGATCAGGGCGGTCCAATATTGAGCGAACCATCAACTCGAAATGCTCCATCGCACGCTGGTTGCTGGTAGAATTTAGACGCCACATAACATTTCAGGTGGAGATATGTACTTACCCTTCATCGTCGACGTCAAATTCGAGTATCACCAAGTCGGTGTTCTCTGGGATATGATGCGAGCTACAAAATCCAAAGTACCCTGAGTTTGTTCGCCTCATAGCACCGTTGGTAAGCTCTGATGCCGGGTGAGGGAAAACGCTCGACCACCACTGGAAAAAGCGTGAAGGATAGCAGGTAGAAGACAATGGATCATCTCCTGCTGCATGACATGCAGATACTACACAATTACACCGTCAAGATAAGTTCTCTTACAAAATCAAGAACACGCACTAGAACCGCCAAGCACGCTGATAGTCACAGGTTGACCCAAAAGTGCTTTGTGAATAACCCGATGCACCCTCCCCCCACTTCCCAAATGCAACCGACTCTGCGACAACGGAACCACCCCATACTTTTTCGCAATGTCATCCTTGGGCCCAAACACAGGGCAAAAGTCAAACGGATTTGCAACCTCAGATGAATTGTCGATAGGGTTGTTGGTCCCATGCAAATAATTCTTTGGTACGAGGCCTTCTGTTGTAAATGACCCAGCGCTGGTATGGTTTGAGAAAAGTATAAACCGCGATAGCGCGATCAGTAGGACGAATCCGAGGATGATGGCCCATATTCTATTGGTGACGCCTAGCACCCTTTGATTCCACCTGTTAGTGTGTTTACTAGAATCTGGGCCCATGCCCGTCAATCGGCGATGATTGGGAGGGGAGATGCGTGCCAGAGCCTTGCCAGAGCCTAAGCGTCGTTGCATAAAACCTTTGAGACGAAGAAGAAAAAAGTACCGTTGAAAGCTGCCGAAATACGAAGCAAACAAGGAAGGGGAGAACCCTTAGGCCTTATGCCTTAACTCCGCGCTAAATGAGGTGAGTGACGAGAAACACAAAAGAATGGACACTGTGGGAGTTGAACCCACGACCTCACGCAATCTATCTATGCGAAGCGTGCGCGCTACCAACTGTGCCAAGTGCCCTTTATGAAACGTCATTAGCATATTATCTCGAGCGGAGGTGACTCCATCTAGGGAAATGACTGTGCCAATACTATTTCCCCAGTTCGCCGTTCGCAGGCGAGTACGCGTGATACTTACTCCTGGGTCACTAATCGTCATGAATTCTTAACATTGACTAAAGCTACTCTTAGGGATGACGAGTCTAGCATGTAAACTGCAGTGGAAAGACTAGCGCTTTTGAAATTCCACAGAATCGCGTCTCTAGTAGACATATCTTCATAGGGATACACCACGCAAACCAAATAAGCTCGACGCAATTAACAGATCGTACTACCCAGATGTCCATGTTATGTCCGAACGCATCACAGCTCGCTCATCTCCCTGTGATGCTTCACCTTCACAGAATCTACATGTTGCGAACGGTCGGGCATGCGCTCCCAGATGGGATCCACATCGGGACCATCTATATCGCCTGCACCATCCCAGCCCCAACACCATACTGCATGACTCGTAAGTCGGGGAGTAAAATAAAGAGTGCAGTACATACCATGCGAGGGCCCGGGCACAAAATCAAGCTCTTCACTTTCCTCCGGCGTGAACAAACGGTCATGAGGACCAAACCAAGACCGGTCCTGTGGATCTGTCCGTGGATTGTCCGGAAGTCCCCCAAGACGCATATAACCACGGATAGCAGTAAGGTTCCGTCTTGAAGGATGTATGATATCAAATACTCTCTGCAAAAAAATCATTTGATCCATTAGATATCAAATTGCATTTCAACCAAAAACATACTTTGTCGTACGCTAGCTTCACCCGCGGCACCATCAATATACGCCCATACCCAGCCTGCCAGTAATCATTGCAGATCAAACTACATTCTGAAGCAGAACACTCCTCATCTGTGAGTCGAGCCATACGGAATTTGATATAAGGGGGTGTGTAAAATGGAGCAGGGTCCAGGACTGCAATGCCATTCCAACACGACTGGACCTGTATGGGAAGGTGCATTTGGAAACGGTCGGAGGAGTAGGGATCATGGAAGACGCTTTCGAACGGAGCGTTTTCCAACGCTGTTCCGTTGATATCCCGAGCGACCCAATTATCATAAAACACGGGGGAGGACTATATACAAAAGTGGAAAATGAGCTCAGGCTGTGAGTGCAGTAACGGGACTTACCAGCTCTTTATGATACATATAGTCAGAAGCACAAGTTATACCTGCATTATTCCGCCGACTTTGCCAGATAAGCTCAAGCAGATCGTCCACGCATGGGAGGATATCGTTCATAAATATGATGGTGTCAAAGTACTCGTTGTGCGAGTCACGGAGCTCGTGGAGTGGGTTAAAAGCCTGGTTGCGGACCTCCGCAAGGTACTCTATACGATGGTTGAAGGCACCTCGTGTACGTGTAGAGGTTCGGATGGTAACACGTAAGCCCACACTACGAGTAAGGGCGTCGAATATCCGTAGCAGCGCTTTCGTCTGGTCTGTCGAGCCGTTTTCGTATATGGAGACATAGACATTATGATACCCCAAGATAGCAGAGACTCGAAAAAGAGTTGCGAACAAGTCAGGAATGACATCGAAGGAGTTATACAAGTTGATGGCGAAGAAATATTTGTGCTCTTTTTTTGGAACGTTGTGTACGTGTTGGGAGTCGGAAAATCCCCAAGAAGAGAACCAGGTGGATTCAGAAGGAGTTTTGTGTCCTATAAGAGAATCATATCGGTCTCGGACTTGCTGAACGTAAAGCGGCTGGGAATTTCGTGTGCACTCTGTGGTATGGTGCGGAGACAACGTGGAGAGCAGGTCTAGGACACGGCGGCGCTGGTCAATGCTAGGCAGGGTTATTTGTTTGCGAGCAGACAAGCGAGACACGAATATGGGGTTGTTCCCGCCTGTTGACAAGAGCTACAAAACAATCATGCGTTGTCATGATAGTAAAACTGTCAAAGTATAGACAGACATACGCTTGTTGGCAGTGTCTTTCCAATTAGCAAGCCTAGTAACAGTCCAACCACGAGTGCCAAGGGAATTCGTTTCAACTGAAATCGCAGTGTCTTTGGTTGCATGGTGGATGTAGGAGATAGTGTGACGGTGACCTCGGAATATTAGACGCACTGATCAACGGGCTCAACGGTCGGTAGAGCCTATGAAAAGGGGCGTACGTAGGCTTGGCGGCAATTTCTTGTGATCTGCAGAAGAAGGCCAGCCTTGGAGCTTGGTGGGTGATGAACCGATGACGGTCTGAAGTATGCAAATTCAACTGCAAATTGAGTCGGAGGCCATGGGCGCTTGTGCACACAAAATCAAATAAATTGCCTAACGTGGCGACCGAGTAGATGAATGACGAAGTTTAACTACATAGATAACTATATAACCCCATAAATTGCTCCTCTATCGACTCGGAATCGTATGCAAGAAGTCAATCAGGTAATCGTGAGTTAATGCTCAGCGCGCAACGTCAACTTCAAAACACCCCGACAAATTCTAATGCGCAAAAGAATGCGAAAGAATAATGATAGTGAGATGGCTCGCAATCCCTCTATAACGAGGCTGCCATGATGGCAAAGGCTGCGACACCAGTCAGCATGTTAATGCTATGCAATGATGCAGCGTTGGAAGACCTGGTTCAATTCGTTTAGTGTTTAATTTAAAATAAATGAAAGAACGACTGACGAAGGCTTGGCCGTGGTAGCAGTAGCGGTACTATTGGATGATGAGGTAGCCGTTGCAGCAGCGCTGCCAGCGGTCAAGGTGACGCCCTGCATTATGCAATTTATCAGCCATTCAAGAAACAAGAATATCTATAACATACCACTGCAGCACAAAGCGATTGGGAGGCTGCGTCGGCATTTGTGAGGTCAGAGCCCGTACAAGATGCTTGAATACAGGTTGTAGTGCTGTTGATGAAAGCCTGGCTGTGGCAAAGACAACTGTTGTCGGTAGAAGCACAGTTGCCAAAGTCAGCATCCGTCAGGCAAGGGACAGCGCAATCTGATAATGTCAGATATCGTTGTATGATGACAAAGAAAAATAGACATACTGGGCAAGCTTTGACGTGTGATCAATGCCGCAAACGCGGACGAGACAGCGACGGAGAGAGTAAGAACGACGACAGCAAAGCGCATTATGGATTGAGTAAAAGAGTGCGAAAGAAGAAGACAGGATGAACAAAGGTGAGTCTTCGAAGAGAGACCTTATATACAGCTACAGATAATGTACATGACAACAAAGCAGACGAGCTGGGAAACAAAGGCAACATGTAAATCCAGAACATAGTGCTCATCCTATTTTTAGCCTTCAAATTGTATGTACAAGTTCGCCGCACCGCATTGTTGTAAATACATGTCACGTGTTTCGTACATATCCGAGAAACTATCAAGTACCTCAGCCACTTGAACCTTATGTCATCATCACACTGACCAAACACAACCAAAGTCTGTGCGACATCTGCTGTCCCAGTTAGACGAGCTCGTCACATTATACATCCTCAAGACATGGTAAGCCACATCCTTGCTCTACCCTCCGAGAAACTAATTCGAACCGGTTTTAGGCTAGGACAAAAAGCGGCAAAGTATGTGCCATCATGGCCTTCACCCGTGATACGTGTTTAAATCTTATCATAGACTGGCGGCAAGCGCTCCGCTCTTCAAGACGTTGTAACTCGTGAATACACCATCCATCTGCACAAACTCGTGCATGGTCGCTCCTTCAAAAAGCGTGCCCCATGGGCCGTGAAATCTATCGTCGATTTCGCTCGCAAGTCCATGGGCACAACCGATGTTCGGTTGGACCCCAAGCTCAACCAGGCATTGTGGGCTCGAGGTGTTAAGAGCGTCCCTCACCGGATAAGAGTAAAGCTTGAGCGTACGTGTTATATTTCCGGGTTGATCATAATACTAACGGTCTACTTTTGACAGGCAAGCGTAATGATGATGAGGGCGCAAAGGAGAAACTTTTCACGTATGCCAGCCATGTAGTTGTGACCTCGTTCAAGGTGTGTATTTCCCCTCTGTTATTTGTCCTGTCCTCGACAACAACCTTCTCCCAGGGCCTCCAAACCGCTGTTGTAGATGCAGAGTAAGGGCTGTCGTCGGAAGGTCCTATGTAGTTTTTTTCACATATTTCATGCCGCCATACATCATCACACCCAGCACTATGCTACTACGTCAAAACTCTCGTGCATCTTGATGCAGTCCATGAATTTGAGTTCCTCTACAACATCGCAAGCTGCTGTTCCTGTCCGCTAGCCATCCCCGATCCCGCGTTGATCTGGAAAAAATAACGGGGGTGTGCTGGGTTACCTGAAACAGATGGGATAATTCACATTGATCGGTGGTGGAACGCGACAATGCCCACTAGTCACGTGTGATACTCAGGAGGTCAACCTCCTATTCAGTGACTTCTTCATTTGATCAAACCTTGCGATAAAGCCAAAGTCTTGCTTGATGCATTCGCTCATTGAAACGTCTTTGACTCGGCCCTGGACTACATGCCCACCCATTATGCATCGGTTGCCAGTAGAAGTTCTACAGGTCGTATTCTTGCTCGCCGTCAACGACGAACCAGATTGTCCTAGTATCTTCTCATATGATAGTAAAACCACCGCCATGTCAGCAAATTTTGGTAGCCCGCCCCTGCTCTTCACTTGAGTGTGCCGCCATTGGCAGGACGTTGCACATTCAACGCCAGAGATCTGGTCGCGCATCAAAGTCATGCTTCCCGGAAGACTCGTCAAGCCACTCAAGCCATTCTTTCCCTCTCTACTCCAGGTTTGGCTCGCTCAGTCTGGCAATCTACCTCTCACCATTTGCATATATTACATTGATTTTATCTCCTCCTCAAGCCATGATGTGGATTCTCGACTGCTCGAGATTCTTTATGATGAGACAAGGCGTTGGGAAACAGTGTCTGCCCCCTCATTCATATTCAGGGGTGATTCATCCAATATGTCCCAGCTGAGAACGCTAGATCAGCTCTGGAACTTGACGGATCTTATCAAATTCAATGCACCAAATCTCTGTTGTGCACGTATCATATATTCACTGTCGGATACCATCCGATCATTCAAACCCAATGCTTCCTGCAGAAGTATATGTCATCTCAGCATCCATCTAGCCAGTGGGATATGCTGCTTTCCAGCCATATTCCCCCGTTTAGAAACCCTCGGTGTGCATATATTTACATCCTACATATCAGGGATGGGGAGTCATTCAGACACATATTCTTGCCTTGAATCAATGACTCTCCCCTTTGTCGATTGTCCTGCGGACACATTTATCAATATATTCCGTGGACTTCATCTTCCCATGTTGCAGAAATTGACTTTGTTGATGGGAGCGGGCAAACCAGACGTCGAGATGATCACAGAGGCACTTGCAGTTGCTGGGTCTTGTAATATATGAGTGCTAGATTTTTGGTTGCACGAATCACGGAGTGATATCGATCCGCGTACCCTTGAGCCGTTGCTCTTGGTAGTGCAAGAGGTTGCGGTTCATGGGGAAGTGGTGGTATGCAGGGAACAGGCCGGTACATGAATCGAGGCTCTCGGGAAAAAGGAAATTGGACCACAAGTTCGTTGTGTTTGTGTTACGCGTTGAGTCTGTGCAGAGGCATCTCCTGTACCCTGGTTAGTAGCGGCCAAGCCCAGCATGCAAGAAATCGTACTTGGTCTTAGATAGTGTGATTGAAGCGTCCTATTAGCTCCAATCAATTGTTCGTGAATCGGGAAGGCAAGAATCTGATTCGCCAACCACCAAGAGAAAAGATTAAATTGAGGTGCATTCTGGGATTGCTTGCAGGAAGAAGCGGAGTAGAAAGAAGAACTTGAGTCGAGGAGATTTGTAACGAGCAATCACAAACTAGAGGGCCATAGGATGGCAAAGGAATCACGCCCAGCCTAGGCTTCCTCCACTCCACATCTGAAGTGTTCTGCCAGGAAGGTGAGGGACACTAAGTCTCTAGTGTTTCAGTCTGTCCATCACGCAAGATTGGCGAGATGTGCGAGTCTTCTGCATGCTAAAATGCTGCAATGGATTGATTTTGAGACAAAGACTTGTCCCATGAATTTCAAGCTGATAAATTTCTAGCTGTGAAGGTGGTCCCTTGAGGTAGTGTGTAGATCTGAGCTTCCAGTGATTCACATTGATCCGAGTGGTGCAACTACACCTTTGAGTGATATCATGGTGGAGACGTTCATGTCAGCATTTAAAGGCAGTAACGAGGACATGGCCCATAAATTGCGTGATAGGTAGACAATTCGGACTGTGCAAACAGACAGTAAGACATCCCGCTACATCAGTAAACCACTTTGCACTGTGCAGCGCTGTACAGCGTGCAAGCGCTACAGCTTGGTCCCAATTAGCCAGTCCATCACAGCGACACCTTGTGCTGTGAATCTCTGTACAGACACCTACAGACCGCCCAGTAATTACGAAAATCTATTTGAATTGCAAATTTTTTCGCTGTCCATCTCTGTACAGACACCCACAGAGCACTCAGAGACCGGGAGCTGTACAGACATTTGCTCGCTGTACTGCTTACACACACTGGACAACACAAAAATTTTAAAACAAAAAAACAAAACCAATATATTGAATCACATGACCACGACAAACAGTAAATACAATGATATGTGCGCCAAAAACGATAAATGCTTGATATAAACTGGGGAGCGGGAATACGAAGCTTTTAGTCAAGAAGAATCTGCAGGTGGTCGTGTCTGGCATCAACAACTCCTTCGAGATTCATAGCTGCAGCCCTGTACAAATGAAAATCAGTAAAAAAATTATCAGAGAGAAAAGATCCTCACCATCCCGCTGCAGCCCATTCTCGCAGTTGAGCTGACAGCCTAGGCCCATGATACGCATCCTCAAGGATATGTTTGAGCAATTTGAGCATCCGACAATAGACGGGGCCGTAGTCCTTGGTGGAAAAGTTTGGGTATGACTTCCCATGTCCGTTTTTCACAAGACCGTCGAAGACACAATTGAACTAGTTTCAAGACAGAAAATTAACACATGACATTGGCGAGGGAGACAAAATTACCGCCGCAGCAACCAAAGCCAAACATGAGAGTGGCAATTCCGTGCTAAAGGTCTCCGGCATCCTTCGTGCAATTCGATATGGTCCTGTGTAAAAGAATGTGATGACGGCTTCACGAAGGGCGGGATGAGCAAAGTTTCGTGTTCTCCCCTAGAAATCTTCCATCAGTAGAGTTGCGATCACCACAAGATCACTTACCTGATCGTCCACCCCAAAGCGTAAGAAGAATGCTTCCTTGATCAATTCAGCAGCAGTGTGCTCGACCCAAGCAGCACGTTCCTGAATGGGGACAGAAAGCGGAGGAATAAGCGAATATGATACTGGTGCAATGCTTATGGCTGTTTTCTTCAAGTCAGATCGCCAAGTCGAAAGATCGTCGTACAGCTTTAATACAGACTGTCAACAAGATATTGGCACAAAGTCAGTTATGCACACACCAACCGAGTCATATTAAATTTTTGTTCTGGCCAAACCCCTGCATCAGAATATGACATATTAGTTCAAGAACAAATGAGAATGAACAAGTGCCTACCAGCTTCAAATTGTTTACCGTTCGTATCCCACACAACCAATACTGCAATGAGAACTTCAGTGATTGTTCCTGGAAGATTCTTCACCAAAGTTGGAAACGGGTTCTCCAGGGCGTGTTGCGCGCGACATTCTACTTTGGCGTCCTCCAAAAAAAATTTCCAGCGTGGTCTGTACCAAGATAATTGATCGGGTGTTGGCCCACCACGCGATGACCTAGACTTTTTGTTTTTCAATGGCTGAACATCACACTCGGACACTTGATTCAGCAGTTCGAGGGATTCAGGATCAGGAAGATGGGGCTTTCCGTTTTTCTTATGGTGGCATTGTAGTACATCGTCAGGCTTCGAGGTGATGGTCTGCTCGATGGTGAGCGTCAATTAAAATGGTCTCCCTGATCTCACCTCAATGTGTTGGGATGCTTGCCGCCGCGGTCCTGGTGAGATATCCAGAGGGTCCTTGAAAGAAAGGCAATGGTAAGCATGATACAATTGAATGATATGGCCATACCTGAAAGCTTTCGTTCCGCTGGATTAACAATATAAAATGAGAGTTACTCCCAGCTTGAGCAGAAAACTTACCGAGGTTTTATCAAGGCTCGTCTGGGCAACTACATCATCTTCATCGTGTGAGTACTGGAACTGAATTTCAGGTGTGAGAGGGCGAGCGACTGGAGATTGCGAAGGTGGTACATCCTCCACAAACCCTATAACATTGAATTAGTGAAGCGAAATCACACCACGAGAATGTGTACCTGGGTGTTCTTTCTGGCGTCGGCCAGCCTCCCCCCAACCAAACTGCTGTGAGCTCTTGACCGTATCATCATTTCCCCCCTCCTCCTCGTCATCCTCTCCGCTGTCCTCTTCATCAGCATCTTTATCATTGCTATCATTGCTGTCATCACTGCTACAGTCTTTAGAGTCACTGTCATCAGATTCAAATGATGTCAGATGACGCTGAGCCCTAACAGTGTCATCATGCTGACGTAGGGCTGGATCTAAATTCTCCTCCTGAAAGATGGACCTTGGCAAAACCACTGGATATTCAGAGACAGCGTTCTGGGTATGCTGCTCAGCAATTGCATCCCGAGTTCGCTTCTCAGCGATAGCGTCCCGAGCTCGTTGCTCGGCAATGGTGTCTCGAGCTTGTTGCTTGGCAATGGCGTCTCGAGCTCGTTGCTCGGCAATGGCATCTCGAGCTCGTTGCTCGGCAATGGCGTCCCGAGCGCGCTGCTCAGCATCCTTCGCCCCAATGGTGACATGCGGGTTGTGCAATGCCTGAATATTGGGCTGGGCAGTACCGGAATGAGCTATTTCTGTTGGAGCAACAAATCCAAACCTTCCACCAGGTTGCTGGGATGTAAAGCTGGGCCCTGTGGCGATAATGTCCTTGGCTGGGGCATCTGGAGCATCCCTAACAAGTGAGCTGTAGGGTGGAGGAACTGCCTATGAAACAATCAATATGAGTAACAGAATTAATTGGACGCCTACCTTTGAATGATTCTTTCGACCTCTACGATGTGGTTCTGGGGCTTGAGGATTGACTGGAACATTGAGACCAAGGGACGTTGTACCCTTACGTTCTTGAGTCCGAGGCTTGGATTGCAATACTGATCCAATCTTCTCCAGTTGTGCATTCCTACCTCCAGTTCCCGCATTAGGGCGACCAGAATGCCGGGGAGCATTTTGTTCCGCTTCTGCTCCAGTCAGGCTAAGGGACACGAGGGGTACCGTGCTGGGTACCTCAGCAATGTCTGCAGCCCGAGACTTCTTTGGCAAGCTGGCCTTTGAAGCATCGGATCCTTTGCGCTTGCCAGATCGTTTCTTCTTAGGACTGGCGATGGCACGAGGAGGCATGACTGTAATGAAGAACAGAGGAAGAAGTGACTCTGATAAATTATCCCAGACTTACGATGATTTTATACCATGGCTCATCCGTGTACTAATACTTAATAGCCGTATGGGTAGCGAGAGAAAAGTTTATCATTAATAAGAATGATAGTAATAAAGAAACATACCACCATGAGGATTGTTACTATCACGTCGTACTCCAAATCGATTCGCATGACTAGCGTGAAAAAACCTTCGTCATTGGTAATAGTACTCATAAGAGAAATTGCCGATCACGTAAGCAAAAATGCTACACATAACATGAATCGTACCAGAACCTACTAGTAGTGATACTATATCAGATCCTGGTGTACTACTAGTATCTTGATTGTAAAAAGATAAACGCTTGAAAAAAGCTTGAAAAAGAACGATATAGTCAGAACAACAATATCATAGGTACCGGTCAGTGAACTATAGTAAAAACGCAACATACTAATAGTACAAGCCAGCGAGATTCTAGAAATACTACTGCTAAAGTTAAACATGTCATTCATACTAAGTCAGTGAAGAAGAAAAATAGCTGAATATGTGTAATGAGTAGGCTTCACCTCCTGGTCATGCGTCACTGCCCGATGCTGAGTCAGACTTGGTATCACTATGATGATACTTCTGCCGCTTGGGTGCTACTACAGAGGGAGGGTCTGAAGCAATCCATTTGCCCTTAACACATTTCGTGAGAATGGCAGCATCATTCCTGAGCATGTCCACAGCAGATACAAGCTCCTCGTCGTCGGGGAGTTTGTCGAGATGAGAGTTGAGTACAGCGAGAATGGTGTCAAAGGTAACGGGGTGGATCATGTTGTCCACCAGAACTCTACGCCACTCTACTGCGAGGGGGATCAGCTGCTTGAAGTACGGGTGAAATTGGTCTGTGAGACGCTTTTCCTCTCCTGGATAAGCAAAAAAGGTGATCTTGAAGGCTGCGCACGATCCCAGGTCAAGGCTGGTCCAACGATCCACCAATGAATTGGGCAAGCGCTCCCGCACCATACCGTTGGGACCACAAAACTTGATGCAAACCCAAGCGAACACGAAAAAAGGGACTCCAGGTCATCCGCATAGCCTTGGATGACGTATGATACAGGTAGTGCCAGAGAATCAGAGGATGATTTCGGGGTTTTTGGTTTGTCGACTGAATTGCGTCCCCGAGTCTCTTTCTTCTTCGCCGTCTTCTTCCTCTTTGATTCCAGGTCCGCCTCCTGCTGCAGGACCGCATATTGATTGAGAAGTCCGCATGACATGAAAGGGACTGTGCCCTGGCAAATCAATTAATGAACTGAATATTTAATGAATAAGGTGTACTTACTGTACCGCCGATGGGATATTTATGATCCAAGGCAATCCGAACGGCAAACTCCCAGTCAATAAGAAACCCTTCACTACCTTCAGGTTCGTCTAGGATCATTGCGTTGTTGAGACTACAGTCCCGTACCTCACGGGAAAGCTGTATCAGCGACAAGGTAGTATTCGTCTGGTGTGTTTGCACTGAGTGTGTTGTAGATGGGTTGGGCCATGTGGGAGTCATGCCAGCTGCCTGGCACATTGAGGCAGCAATGAATTATTGAGCCTGCGAGTAGTAGCAATCAGAATGAAAGACTGAGCGGATGATTTGGACAACAGCGCACCGTCAGCACTAAATGCAATGACCGAACTGACAAAGTGACTGTGCAACCACCCATTATAGGTTGCGTTCTCGATCTCTTGGTCCTGGGATGTTTGGACAGGTAAGTTTAGTCTATCTAGTGTGCTGAAGCCCCCCGTCAACAAGGGATGACACACAATGACAAGTTCATTTAAAACTTGAAATTGATCCCCAGAAGGCCACTGGATGTAGGCTTTGGGGATGTTCTTGAGTGTGCAAAGTAGTATGGTGAGGGAAAAATGTAGATAGTGTGAGACGGTTGTTGGGATAAGTGCAAAAATTTGCATGAGGCTGACCTCTTGCATGGTTGAGTTGAGCCAATGAAGAACAAGGTCTAATGCACCAGCAGTGTCCAGGGAATGTCGATAAGCATGAGAGTGAGCAGTGGCAGGAATATCGTCGCGGGGGATGGGAGTGATATCCCAAAGAGTTGCGAAGCCATGTGAGAGAATGTAGTGAAACATAGGGATGTCAATGCCCATGGTTGTGATAAATGCATGGTTTTTCTGTCCTGAGTAGAGTGCTTGCCAAGGAGTGTTCAGATGTGGATTGGGAAGTAGGTCACTATGAATGAGATATCTTCTTCTTGTTTGCCAGCGTTCAGAGCGTTCATAGCATGATTGTTCAGCTCCAACAAATATAAGGACACCGAGAATTCCAATGAGCCTTCTCTGTAATTCATAGTCTTCATCATCGTCATCAGTCAGAGTGAGAGTTTCACCAGCAATGTTGTATGCCATGTTTAGAGTTTAGGAAGTAGAATTAGATCATGAAGTTTATTTGACTGTGTCCATGGTTTAGAATGAGTTTCTAGATGTAAATTCTACCTTGCCGAACCTCCGAACTTTAAGGTTTAGAATGAGATCTGGATTTCCAAATCCCACGGGAAGTCATCCATTGAATGCATTTATTTTCCCATTTTCCCATTTTTCCTGCTTCCCGTCTCCCGTCTCCCGTCTCCCGTCTCCCGTCTCCCGTCTCCCGTCTCCCGTCTCCCGTCTCCCGTCTCCCGTCTCCCGTCTCCCGTCTCCCGTCTCCCGTCTCCCGTCTCCCGTCTCCCGTCTCCCGTCTCCCGTCTCCCGTCTCCCGTCTCCCAGTTTCCCATTTTTCCATCCTCCCATCTCCTGTTCTCCCATTTCCCATTCTCCCTGTTTCCTGTTCTCAATTTTCTGTCCTCCCATTCTCCAGTTTTTGAGTTTCTATATTCTCAATGTTTCCTTTTGATTTATTTTTTCACAACCTTTTGTCATTCATTTCCTGTCACCACATATATTTGTTGTTCCATTTTAGTTTTATTATTTACTGTATGTATGTACCCTAAATAATTACAATGGGGAAAATCCTGCGTAGCGTGCTGCTCTAATGGGCAACAGCAATTCAGTTGGCGCTTGAAAACATGTGACAAAGCCACACGAGTTTCCAAAAAGAGGTTTAAGCAAGGTAAGCGACATAAACGAATCTAAGTGTTTGCAAGCACATCCAAGTGTATCTACGCGAAAACCACACGAGCATGCGAGAGTTTCTGAAAACCATTCTCCCTTTCTTTTTAAGATACTGAGATGTAAGTTAGCATTTTCGTAAATGTTTGACTAAAAGTCTAACACATTAGTAGATTCGTACCTTGTGTTTAGGTACAACATTTGTTAGCTGAGTTTCAACTCAAATACTGAGATATTTGTACCTTGTGTTTAACTCCATTGTCCCCATTCCGAAAACCAGCAAAAACTGCAATTGCTATAGTACTCAAGTTCTGGAGCACTCAAACCATGTCTATTGTAAGTACACAACCACTTGTGACCTCCTGTGACGGCACTATTGGAGGTGTACTGCAATATTTGAGGTGTACTAACAAATAGTTCAAAAGACTAACAAACAGTGATCAGACTTCAAAATAAGTTGCGGCAAATCGAACCGTCCACCATAAGGGTAGCACCGGCGGAGTCTGAATTTCAAAAGTCAGTCAGTATATAAACCCTCCTCCATTCGAACTTGCCTTCTTTCCGACTTTCATCTTCGTACTTGTAGGTTTGTGGTGTCATACATATCATTATATCCACGTAGTAGTTGTAGTAATAATTAGTACAACCAATAGGGCTTGCACTTGCAAATCGCAAGCTGTCATTGTCGTAGTCATAATTCATCGCACGTTTCTGACCGTACGTGGCAATCATCGCATGGTTAAGGTGCTCCCGCCCGCCGTCAGATGAACCCTCTCTTTAAGTAGAGGGACGTGCACCGATGTATGGTGAGGTTTTTGCCGCCCACCGTTTTTGAAATTAAATTAAGACAACTGACCTGTCGTAAATGCAGACGGCTGCACTCGCACAATCGCCAATAAATGTTCTGGCCCTTATCCGAATCTAGCTCGGATCACGCCTTCCTCCTGTCGGAGGTATGTCTGGTTTCACGCTTCTGTCTCACCACATGAATTATACTGAAGTGTTTCTAACATTATACCAGCGTTGGTGCTACTCGCGCTACCATATCAATCATATAATGGAAGCGTGCGTGTCAAGTCTTCGTCTTTGAAGACATCAGCTTAAATGTCCATTAGCCGCTGTGAACACGCACCTCTACGATGATAATACATTCCTGGTACGCAAGCTCGCCCAAAGTATTTGCTAATATTTACTGAATGACAGGTCAGTCTTGCATCAATCTCAGTTGGGAACATGTCACTAACCCATGTACCCGCAAGTGTCACTCGCACACTCGGCGACATACAGCCCCTGCCATGGACCTCGCTTTCTTCGACTTAGTGATACCTCAACGTATTTGCCCCCCCTTCCGCAAAGGCAACACGGGTATCGGAATACATGAGTCTCTCGATAACCTTTGAATCTCGAAGGGTGGATCTTGTGTCCCTGTAGGGTAGTTGGCCTACATTCATGTATGTGTTCGTGAGTTGTTGTTGTCAACGTTACAAGAACTAACCATTGAAATGTTGCCAGTTCTGCTGTTTGGCCGTGGTAATGCAGAACGCCATGGCGCGCTATCAGCACTCTCACTAGCATTCGGACGATCATGGGGTCGGGTGCAAATTCCGCTCTCTCAATACTAGAGCACGCAGAAGGAGAAGATCTATCTGTCATCGCAGGCTTCAGATAGAAGGTGACCTACCACGAATATACAAAAGACTATATAATGAATTTCCGTATTAGTTTGGTGTCTTGCCATTGTGTTTATGGCCATAGATGTCGGAAATGAAATTGACACACAATTGTCAGTCACTGGCACTGCGCCATCGTATTAGTGACATAAGATCATGTGTAATCTCCGGTGAATGTCGCTTCTCTGCATGGAAGCGCGCAATGAATTTACTAAGCTTGAATAGTACTGCAGAATTATTGAAGTGTTCGGCTGCGACCATCACGCCATCATAGGCGGAATTCTTAAAGTCACTGCTTGACAACATTCCACGGCCATGCCCGAATACACATGTGTTTGCAAGCGCACGTTCACTGCGCAAAACTATTACAGCCTACACCAGCACTCATGTGCTCACACCAAAAAGCATTTATCAGGGGCGATATCTACCTTCAAAGACTTCGTAAGTCGCAGAAAAAAGCCACGCATCTCGAACGACTCACACGACGCTGCATCTATCGTTCCACTGCCAAACGTAATACCAACATCTCCAGCCGCAAAACCCAACCTTGTGCCTGTTTCCCAATCTCCCAAACTAGCGGTACCAGCATGCCATGCACCTTCATGTGAAGGTTGTCCCGCCGAAGAACAAGTTCTCGACGACGGGGGAGACATATCTCTGGCACAACGGAGATCCAGGCGTGAAAACCGACAAATGCCAAAGAGATACCGGGATATACTTCCTCAGCCTCCACCAACTGTGCCCATGGAAGTACGAGATCAAATTCCGGAACTTCCTCCATCTATCTTCAGCGCAGGTGCACGCCTCTCTTCAGTATTGGGTATGGCGTTTCGCACTCCCATAAATGTCTTCGGTCTGGTACGACAATATGTCACCTCTAAACCGCCATCCCACGATCCAGAGAAGTACGTGACCATAGCAGACTTGTCATTCATTCCGCGGACCACTGAAGAGCCGCTGCCCCAATCCTCTGAAGCTGTTAACGCTCAATACCATCCCTACCCCAACCGTGCCTCCTTCGAGCTTGGAGAATGGTATTGGAATCAGGCGGTGCAGAAGTCCCAAGGAGACTACATGAAGTTGGTGGATATCGTCGGCGGACCTTCATTCCAAGCTGCCGATGTCTCTTCAACGCGTTGGAAGAACATCAACACCCAGTTGGGTGCGAACGACTACAATGATGGAGATATAGAAGAATGGGAGGATGAAGACGCTGGATGGAGACGAACTCCAATTTCAATCCAGGTGCCGTTTTCCCGTACTACCACCACACCGGGCCCTCGCGTATACCACGCGTCGGATTTGTATCATCGACCCCTAGTCTCCGTGATACGGGAGAAGATTGCCAATGCCCGAGACGCTAAATTGTTTCATTACGAGCCCTACCAATTGCGTTGGGCTCCTCCCCACCTCGACACCGAGGTATCCATTTATGGCGACCTTTATACGTCCCCTGTTTTTCATAAAGCCCACCGAGACGTGCAGAATCT